AATGCTTAGAAACCATAACTAATATTATTTTGAATTAATATTATTTCGGCATAATAATGTATTTCTTATCTGTTACTTTTTGTTTGATGCCAACGCCTTCGGTTTTTGGCGCGAACTCGTGACGTTGCTTGTCTGTTTTTTTTTTCTATCGTGATATTGAAAAAAATCAAAACAGTTCTGCCCATTGATAGCTGTTAATTGTTTTATGTTATAAAAAGTAATGGATCATGTCTTGGTGTGAGTTCGCTACGTGAGAATTGGTTCTTAGTGATTGTTATTTGACCTTAATATTTATATTTAAATTCAATCTTGGAATTACATTTCATATAAGACAACGATATTATAAGAAAATATATATACTTTTTTTAATTCCGCTTTTTATAGCAATGGATTATTCCTAACAGATCCTATCTTTAAATTTAAAGATGTTTTGAACTATTAGTGTTCAATATAGATTTTTTCATATTCATAATGACATCTGAGATTTTCGCGAGTCATTTAAATGAAACTAATATTGTGCTGATATACTACGCGACTTTTGATTATAAATTACATATTTCCGACGTTTTGGTTACTTTACAGCAACCGTAATCACAATAAAGTATATCACAATATAATATAACTTTAGTTTTTGATATCCAAATCAAATAATTTTAATTAAAACTCAGTATTATTACTACTTTGGTTATATAATACATTTTTTTAATAATACGAGATGTCGAAATATAAGAAGACGTACATAACATAAATAAACATTTAATTGTTTCTGGTTTTCCGTAACCGGTACGCATTAAAATAACCAAACGCCAATAGGTCACGAGGGAATATTTAATAATATTATACATATATATAGGTATATATATATTTTTGGTAATTATTAAAACCAGTTTTGATATATAATTCCGTCTATGAATGAAATCATCGGTCACTTTACATTTGTAATGAGTTAAACAGAAATAATTTTTATAATAAAATACATATTATGTATAGAAAAAGATTTTTTTATAAAATTTATTCCGACGGAACAAAATTATGAAATATTTATTTATAAATGAGACTTAAAAGGCGAAATACTTTTAATATTGGCTTTATTAATATTTAGCAAATGCTTAATATAATATATGTACGTCATATTAGTCAGGTTTTCATAAGAACGAGCACTTTTAGCTGTAACACTATAAGTAACAGCTTAAATCAGTATTTTCATTTGTTGAATAAATCGAGAATAAAAAATCAAAGGAAGACATCAGAAGCTTTTACTTTTTCACATAAATATATATTGTATAAGTACGTTAGGTGTCAAGGCCGGTCAGCGGAGTTAGCGAGCAGTCGATTTATGACCGCGGCCGAGGACACAACATGCTTATACTTAGATATTACGAGCCAGGAAGCGACGCGACGCGCCAAATTTAAATAACTAATATCATACCTACTATATAACATTGTTTGATCACTTAAAATATTACCAAGCTCTCATGTCAGAACTATTTCTTTCATCTTAGAAAAGATTTAATTTTGACGCAGTTAATTTAATATAGAATGTCTTAGAAACGTTTTTCTTTACTTTCTTTTCTGTTACGGAACGATTGTTTAGTTTTGAGTGCATGTATCACTGTTGGCTGATGGCTTGAGACGCGACGCTAGTTTGACAGCAGTATGAAAATAGAACTAGTGGCGTTACATTAGAAAAAAGACCGTTAAGTCGTTGACTCTTAGTAGGAAATAATTTTTGTGACGTTCTTTATTTAAAATGATTTTATTTGTATATTTTTTTAATTTAAATTTTTAGCAGACGTGAAATGAGACGCCCTTTATATGTAGTAAACGCATTATAACGTTTTCGAGAGGCCTCAGGGAGTGTATGTCTATTGCCTTAGGCTGTTCAATTATACTAAAACGTTCTGCAGTCCTTTGAATCGGATCTGGGCTCGCTTGCAGTACTTTTGTCATTACGTAAACTGTTCTATTATTGCATTTTATGCCTTATATCTTTATACATAAGACGTACAGACATACGTTCAGTTCCAGATAACTTTAAGTTAAACGTCGCTCCTATTTTGTTCCATTCTATTTTCGTATTAGATAGATTAATAAACTAAACTCAGTCTTATGGTTAACGTTTATTTAAATTCAATTCGTATGCTTGGAATTCTTTCGTACAAGTTTACTAAGTACACAAGCATAAACAATTTTAATTATTCTCGCATGGAAGAACGTCTTCATTCATTGAGATCGATGATAATTTTAACTAATTAACATATTATAATATTATTTAAATCTCGAAAAGTCTTAATGAATGAGTACACCAACCAACAGTGGATTGTTTTAAAAATTCCTAAACCGAAGTCAAGGTCGGACAAATCGTACCATTTTTTTTAAGTTTCAGCTCGTATGTGAGGCGTTTAAAGCGATTTATAAAGCGTGACAATATATACGAGCAGACTAAATATCAATTAAAAACGTCGGCGCACACGTAGGGTGCATTAAATTCTCTGTTTTATTGACTGAATTTCGATCCTCGCGACATTAGTGTTAATGTAGGTGAATCTTTTATAACGTATATATATTTTTTATTAAGATGTAACTCGACCGTACTCCTCGGATCAATAAAAACAGAGATGATTATTAAATTTTATGGTATTATTATTGCTGTTTTTTTTTCATTCCCGCCTTCGATCTCATTTAGCATTTACGAACGCCGATTCGCTTTACCTCTTTGCTTGATATTTTCGCTGTATTATATGTGATTTAATCCTTATTCTAGAAAGTTCTCATAGAACCATCCTGATGTAACTTATCGTCAAGTAGTTAGTAGTTTAGTGGGTAACAAAAGTTTTATTACATTTACATATTTGGCTATCACACTCGCTATTGGCAGTGATAGCGATCTAGCCTTCATAGAAACGTGGCGTACACACTGCCCGTATATTATTGGGACACAATACTTAAATGGAACAGATCATAATGATAATTGAATATTTTGCATAACAAACCTTAGTAGCCACGTAATAACATACAATGTCGAATAGAAATCACTATCCCTAGTACTAGTTTGTAGTATAAAACTAATCGTCGCCAGTTTAATGCTATTCATTCATAAGTCTTCATATAATCGTATCGTGAGATATTAATGAAAAACTTTGATACTACATGTCAAATCGACGACAACTATTACTAAGGATATCGTATACTTTCGAAACTATCCTCGTATTCAAACTCATGCTATCTCGTTACTTTTTCATTGCTAATTAATATGATTATTATAAATTAATTCTTCTAAAAACCTAAAGAAAACCTCAAGATTAATACATACATTGCAGCTAACTTGTGTGAAGGCTGTATCTATAAATATGAATATAATGCGAGGAAGCTATAATAATAATTACTGTACAAGTTTATGATGAACTGTGTTATTGGAAGCTAAGGTCGCTCATACAAAATATGAAGAGGATTTATTATATAGCTATAAAGTCGATCGTACAAAAACTCAAGAAAGTACCATCGAAAAACCCATACAAATAGTGCAGTGACGAAGCGTTTTAGATTCAATAGAGATTAATGACTAGATAAGAATTGAGTCCGAATCTAGAATTTTAATCAGTCTAGAGTTTAATGATCCTGACTGAGACAATTCTATGAGTTTTTGTATGCACTTAGAATACAGTGACGTGAAGGCTCAAGTTCATTGGCGATACGACGCGTTCTTTAAATATTAATTGGTATATACAATATATGTATATAAAGTATATAAAGTAGAAATATATATAACGTACATAATGATTTTTGATTACATTTTTGTTAGTATTGATTCCATATAAATTCTATTAGAGAAATGCTTCGTAAACCGAAAGCAAGTTTAAGAAAGTTGTCTGCATTTAATTCACATAAGAATAAACCGATTTTGACGAGAATGAAATTCATGGATAGTGGCTGTTATAAGAAAAAAATGTCATATTAATTTACCAAATTAAAACATCGACAAACTTACATATAATTATACAGTTTTATACCTATTTGAAATAAGTAGTTAGTTCATGCTTGCTATCTTTGATATGGGAATTAAAACGTCTATTTCCTATTGGGTAACAGAAAAATAAGGAATATTTCAATAAAAATGGATTCTTAATTATATTTGAATTTTAAAGACACTTTATATTCTTTATCGTTCAATGTACGTAGCAATAAATCGGCATGATTACATCGGTCACGACTACATATGAACGAAGGCTTACACGCGTTACTTGACGACTGAAACCAATGACTATTTAATATATATATTGGATTTAATTATTGATGAAACTATGATTAAAAGATTCCCAATTAGGCTATGAAAAATAAGGTACCAATGATAACCCGCTAAACATTCAATTAAGGTAAATAATGAAAACCCATAGATTAAAGTGTAATGTTTTGCTTCGATAACCAAAATAATGTAAAATATACTCATCTTCTAGCATTGTAATAAAAAAAAATAACTACTTAATTCACATGTAACTCTCTACGCAAAATTTACATTATAGATTTTGTATTACGAAAAAGGAATTATTGATTTCTAATTTATTGTATTGTATCTCAAATATAACATATAAATATATAAAAATAAACCCATTGAACATTCAATCGCATGTAATAATTCCCACATTTTCCGACGTGGTCATCAAGTCACGACATTGACGCTTACGATAAATATTCAAAGAAATCAATTGATATATTATCTATACTTATATTTAACTTTATTAAAAGGAAATAACTTACAATATAACCTATGTATGATTTGCCTAGCAAAGAATGAGTATTTTACAGATTTCTTCAAATATCTTAATTAATTTGAATCTTTTAATTACAAGATTTTTTCAATAATAACGGTTATTCTGTTCCCGTATAAAGAAACTAAGGATTCGAGTTTAGTTTTAATTTTAATTTCCCGTGTTATGATATATTCTTTTATTAGCATATATTCTTTTATTCCCTTTTTCACGATCTATATTATTATTTTGCAGGAAATCCACGACGTTCGTTTAAACTCCCGAGTCGACTCCATGTTAAAGGACGGCTTGATAGATGAACTACTCGACTTCCACGACAGACACAACAAACAGAGAATCAAAGATGGCAAGTGAGTAATAATAACAAACAAACTTAATGAAAACACAATATTCCTTATATTATACTCGCTTTTCGCCCGCGTGGAGTTCGGTTATATCGCGTTTCCAAGAGTATCTTTCAAAAGTCTGGTATAAAAACTATACTATGTTCTTTCTGAAGGTCAACTCTATCTCTGTACCAAATTTCATTAAAATCAGTTCAGTGGTTTAGGCGTGAAAGCGTAACAGACAGACAGACAGAGTTACTTTCGCATTTATAATATTAGTAGGGACTTCCATTACAATAAATATATAGTACACGTTTAATATTATGCTATCCTTATTTAAATTTTATTAAGTTACATAATAAAATACGTACAATAATTATGAAATAATAATTAAATGTCAAAACAAAATGGCGTCCCATACTGTATGATTGTAAGCGGGGAATGTCCGCGTCACTCACTGACAGATGCTATAGAGTTGCGACGCTCATGTTACTTGTCTATGACTGAAGAATAGATGTCTTTGGTACTTTAAATATATTATAATATATAAAAAACTATTATTAATACATTGGATAACACTTTAGAGGTTTCTGTGCTTAATAATTAAATAATAAAGGTTTAAGTTTGATCTGAAAAAACGCCTTCTTGAAGTATTCAAATTTCTATTAACATTGGATCAAAACTATGTTGTTTATAAAATATAGTTATATATATAATTTCATCAAGTATCAAGACTATAGATGTATATCGTATACAAGCCAGTAGCAACCGCAGACCGCTCTAGCAATGACATCGCTGATAAAAACTTAAAATTAAAACTCACCTAGATGTGACATTAAGTAGTAAATCATTCTTAACTTAATATAAGATGAAAAAATAACGTAAATTTAGTATCACGATAAGTAGAAGAATGCAATGATATTGATATTAAAAATTAAAATGGTCCTAAATGATATGTGATTACAAATATTCTTTTACTAGCTTTTCGCCCGCGGTTTAGCCCGTGTGGAGTTCTGTTATATCGCATTTCCAAAAGAACTTTTCAAAAGTATGGAATAAAAACGATCCTATGTTCTTTCTCATGGTCAACTCCATCTCTGTACCAAATTTCATTAAAATCAGTTCAGTGGTTTAGGCGTGAAAGCGTAACAGACAGACAGACAGAGTTACTTTCGCATTTATAATACATATTAGTAGGGATGATCAACAAGAGTAAATATTTCTTTTCATTTATAATCTTCTATAATAATGTTAATATTAAATTTCACTAAACATGTTTGTTATAATGAGTCCCATCCAGTAAATGTATTAATATTTATACGCCTTCCCTATTCCCTCTCGAGCGATTTGTCCATTAAAGCAAGATCCCTGTTTACTTTCCATTCCTTGACCCCAATGAGTGTATTAGAGCTCACCGTATTAGTGCTCACAGAAGCCCTAACTACGAACAGACGGCGAAATAAACCAGTTTCCATACATGCTGGATGGTGTCAGCTCATCTTAGACTTGCCATCTTCAATCACATTAACAGGCATCATATAAACACTCTAAAAACTTTAATCTGATATTCTAAATGAGTTTCGTTTATCGTTGTATCAATATTTATAATTTCATACGATCGCAGGTTCAACACACGATACCTTCTTGTTTAATACGAATATTTTGATAGAATGAAATTATTTATACTATGTTTATTTCGTAATGGCAATATTTGAATTTTGCTATTCAATTTAATTTTATACTAATAAATTAAGTATATGGTAATAACTTGCTGAAGGTTTTTTTTTTAGTTGTTAAATAAACTTTATTCCATATAAGACGTTTTATGGGCCAACCCAAGACATAAATATAGTGAACAAAAAGTACGGTCTAAAGAATTGGTGCTGCCATCTATATACGTTTAATTATGTTTTGTTAATACCCTACTAATGCTACAACTTGACAATAGGAAAATCGATTAGTTTAATCGATACGTTTTTAATAATTACGATTTTTTTATACGATACAAAATTATCCTACGTCACGCACACATAGTAGTTCCTTTCTTTTATCAAACGTAGTTATTAGTCTAGTGTTTTATTAATTACAATAAAAACTGAATCTGAAAAAAAAAACACTCGTACATAAAACCGTCAATTACGGCAAACTTGTAGTTCCTACGATAAAACGGAAAAAAGCGAAGTAACGTAACCGATTACATGGAAACGCTAATAAACAGTCATTTAAAAAGCGGTGTTAACGAAACTCATAAAAGTTGTATTTCATTTTTTTAATTTTCTTTCATATTTCACTTATTAAACTTAATAAAACATAATTCAAGTATGTATATAAATCATATTAATAAAGAAGTCTGTATTTATGTTAATTATATATTATATGTTGATTTTAAATTTGACTTTAATGTTTTAAATATAAGATAATATCATGTTACATGTGGCTATTTTATTTTTAGACCACCAGATTACACAAAAGGCGTTTTCCAGACACTAGGCCTTAAAGAGTTTCATGAATATCTCATATTACCCCCTGAGAAGAAAGAACAGGAAGAAGGAAAGAAACTTCTAGAAGTTAGCATAGACAATATGAAAATGGGAACTAGAAGATACGCGAGGAGACAAAACAAGATGGTGAAAGGAAGGTTTTTAGAACATCCCACTAGAGAGGTAATATAAAACTCATCTAATTATTGTCCTAAATGTAAGCAATCAATAGTATTTTTAATTACGATAATATTATCCCCTCCCGGTGACGCTGTCAAAGCCATTACTGCTAACAGCTACAGTCAAGTCGAAAAAAGAGATATGTAATATTATATTTATTTAAAATTAATAACAACGCCATCTTTAGACCACTAGTAGCAAATCGAACATGCTTTTCTAACGCCATCTATTGTCGGATAGCAGTTATCATACTTTAATAATTTATAATTATAAAAACAAATGTCTCTAATCACATTGTTTTTAGGTTCCACCAATTTTCACACTAGACACTACAGATCTCAGTAAGTGGGATGATGAAGTTAAAAACAAAGCAATAGTCATTATAGAAAGTTTCATTAATGGTTCTCCGTGTGAGTATGAATCGTTAACATCGAATGCTACTGAAGATATAAAAAAATTAAATCGGCATTCATCAAACTATTGTGAAATTTGTGAAAGACTTATTATAGGAGACAAGGAATTTGCAATACATTTAAATTCAAACAGACACAAGAAAGTACTGAAACTCAAGAATAACTTGAAAGTTAATAAACAAAAGGAGAAAACTGAGTGAATAATATCTGATAGATCATAGAGGTGACAAGTAAAATAATAAAATATTTTAAACTAAACAAAACTTTTATTTAAGCTACATATTTACAAACTATATATATCTTAAGCTGTTGTTGCCTCTCCTTCAGATTTAAGTTTCTTCGGTGCTCTATAATCATAGTTTTCAAATTCAGGATATTTTGTTATAATTTCTTTGTATGCTTCACACAGTCTACCAAATTCCCCATTAGCAATTTGAAAAGGTCTCGTTACAGGATCTATTTCTGCCATTTTATACATTCTCAAAGCCATTTCCTCTCTTACTTCTTCAGGAAACAGGGTCTGTGCTCCACGGATTGAATACTTCTGCCTCATAGAAAATATTTGACGGACAACTTTCTCAATAAGTTTGAACGGTAACTTAATTATTGGTTGCTTGAGAGGCGTTAATGTGACGACTCCCACATCTACTTCTGGTTTAGGGAGGAAAGCTGATCCCGGTATATCAAACTTATAGTTCACACCGCACCAGTTTTGAGTCATAACTGATAATCGACACCTTTGTTTCTCAGTCATGCGGGCGGCCATTCTTTCTGCGACCTCCTTTTGAAATGTTAAAGTCATTCTCGTACGACCAAAAGCCCAAGGCCCCTCTTTCTTTGAAATCAATTCTAACCATCTTATTATCAATATTGTTGATACACTGAATGGTAAGTTACCGATCAGATTTACTGGAGGAGGTGGATCGGTCCACTCACACTTAACATCTTGAGGTATAAAGTGAGCGATATCAGTTTTTAAAATATCCCCTGTTATTATATCAACATCGACGACATCTTTGCATGCATCCGCTAACAGTTCCAATGACGGGGTGAAACGGGGATCTTTCTCGATTAAGATTAATTTTCTAGGTCCTTGTTTAACAATAGATCGAGTGATGCCTCCAGGGCCGGGGCCCACTTCGCAGACTACATGGTTTTCGATATGACCAGCGGCGCGGACTATTTTGTCTAATAATCGTGGTTCCATTAAAAAATTCTGCGAGAGTTCTCTGAGAGCTCGAAGTTTATACAATTTGATAACATCTTTAATACTAGGCAGAGGCGGCAACCTAACTTGAAAAGCTTTTTTAACTGCAGCCATTATTGTTGAACTTTAGCTGGTTCTTCAAAGTCGTCGAGGAACGTTTCCTGCTTCACTGCGAGGATGGAGTACATATAAATACCAAACACTCCGGCACCAATACTCAAACCCGTCAATCTATTCCTACGACTAATTTTTTGCAGCTTTTCAACACGTTCGCGATTCTTTTGTTCTATTATTTTCATATAATCAAGCTCTGCCTGCTTAAGAACTGGATCTTGTTTTCCAGTCTTAATATTTGGTGAATCTCCCATTACGAAGATACTTAACACTTCTAACCTCAAACAACAAGGAACGATATACGATATAGATAACAATGAAAGATACACAGATTAAACAAATTTTAAAATCAATAACATTCAGTGCGGCACAGTATAAAACATCGTGTAAATATAGAGTAAACACTGTCACAGAATAAAAAAGATTTCAATTCAGTTTCTTTTACTAACCATAGTGAATGAATGAAAGTGAATGACGTTAAATTGTGCTATTAAATATATAAACTTTTGAATTTAGTCAAATACAATAAATTACAAACTTGGTGTCTATTATTTAAATAATTAACGTCGAACAAAATGTAAAATTGTAAATATTAGATAGTATATCTTTCGAGTTATTTAATTAATAAAGTAGGCATTAATTATAAATTGATTATATGAAAAGTTTTATCAAGTTTTTGACCTTTATTGACTCGTTGGATATAAAACAGAGTGAACTGTATAAATAAGAATAAAATGAAATTAATCACGCTTCTGGTAAAAAAAATAGGATCTAAAGAGTAGTCATTTTCTTTTACATCTTATTAAAAATTATAATCCCATCTTGTCCCTTCAGATAACTTCCCCTTGTACAGGATACGGATACGACAACGGGATACGTATATAAAAATAAATATCCCGTTCCTGACTAATCTGAGTATATATTTTAGGAAAACATGTCTAACATACCCGATCGATCATCTTTCTTAGGCAAGATAATATGTACATAATTATGACTTTTGTATTTAGTTGATATTATTATATAATTATTATTTATAACCTTCTTACCGTACATATAAAATTTGAGATTAAGAAGATAATTTTTTAATCGTTTCCAGCTCACTAAAATCGGTCATGCTGGCTGATGGTGGTTTGTTTGACACTTTTTGTAATAATTAAGTTTCTTGATTTTATATTAAGTATAAATTATAATTATTTATTTTTTTTTTTTCAATAAAAATAAATGTTTAGCATATTTTGGAAATGTAGCTTATTACAAAAATCGTTCTAACTCTAAATTTAATAATATTTTTTTTAAAGATCTAATATTTATTACGCATAATTCGATGTAAATATAAACACAGCAAAAACAGCTGTTTGTGACGTTTCACTGCATAACAAAACGAGCCATGCGCAGCAGCCGTCCCTTTCTAAACAAAAGCTCTCTTTCTAGCCTGTTACTTTTTGATATTCTTCGCGAACGCCAATTCCCGTCTCGCGTCGTATGCAATCGGTCGTTCAGCTGTTTCTTTGTGTGTCGTAAGTTGTGATTTGTGATTACAATGCCATTTATATCGAAGGACTGGCGTTCCCCCGGCGAGGTGTGGGTGAAAACTCAGGAGGGCTGGGAGAAGAAGAAAGTCCTCGAATGCACGGCCCAGAGGTGAGCGTTTGCAGAACAGAACTATCCTTTGTTCACATTTCACCATACGACGCCAATCATGAACTATCCCCGTAATAACTAACGTAATACGCTTTATTTTTATTACTGAATGCATAAGCCTGTTTGTATTTTGTATTGCAGATATGCAGCTATCTCTAACTATAGTAACAATGATAACCAGCAGAATTGGTGAGTGTTTGTTATTAAGCGTGTTATCTAACTACTAAGAATCAGCTGTTTGTGTTATTTTGTTATTGATTTATAGACGCGCAGTTCCGCTTCATGTATTGATATAAAATGGAAATAGACCAACGCAATATTAAATAACTTTGTGTAATAATACACCGACAATACAGGCTTCGTTTAAAAGCATGAATTTATATAAAAATAACATTATAAATATATTCTTTGCACCCTGACAAATCAATCCATGTTAAAATGATATTCAACACAGTTTATATAATATAAGTTTATATACGTATAATACATATGTATTATAATTATTATTTATATTTATTTAATAATAATGTATAGAATAAAATTAATTTCAATCAGTCCTAGAATGTAGGCCGCTCTGAATAGATCCCTATTCATTCGTCGGAAAATCGTAATCACGAAACATCTCTCGGCTTAGATTTGTTTATTACTTTTAAAACAATGAGGAAGTAACAGAACTTTGTAATATTAAAATGACTTAGTATTTTTTATTACTGATTATATATTTCATATATAAATTTAGGTAATCTCATATATTCCTTTATGTTCCATATGGTTCATGAAGCAAATGCATGTAGCCTAATTTTTGACCCAAGAATCGTTTGAGGTGAGAAGAAAAGACTTGGTTACCAGATAACTAGTATAATTCAAAGTTTATAAAAATATCTCACTATTTATGATCTCTAGCTATGTATATACATATATCGTATTTTTAATTAAACAAAGTTATTTAATTTGTGTTCTAAGCTTATGACACTTTAACCTTACTAAAGATAATGAAACATTAGTTTTACATCATAAATCTTTACAAGTTAGGTGTATTTTTTAAATTAAGATTCAAGGTCATAAGATTATACATTGCACTTTTAGAACCCAACACACCATATTGGATGCGATCTTAATTACATTAATATATTAAAGTTTTTAAGTTATTGATTCCGTCCAACAACCGGTAATTATATCCTTAAAGGGAAAAAAGGTTCGAGACGAAAGATCATTTTTATTTTTAAACGTTTATTAATGTGTCCCCTTCGTGTGACGGGAATAGATATATAAATATATTTAAAGAGCATTATTAATAGGGCGAAACAGTCCAACGCTTTAATAATGAAATTGTTATATTAATTTCATTAAAACATTTATTTATTTATGTGAAAACATACAGCTTATATTACAATAAATTATTTCGACAGACTAAAAACAATTTTGACAAAACAGTTTCCACGGTTATTTTGACATGGAGTGAACTTACATTAAAAATAATAATTTTAATTTAAGAGAATTATTCTCACAGTTTCCCTCATCAATCGAGATGGTAGAAAGTTTCTAAGGTATAATTTTCCGTGTGGTCAGTGGAAATTTAATAGCCGGTATTATAAATAATATCTATGTATCATTGCGTCACTTTCTATATCTTATAGAGATTTACTACTTACGTAATATATAAATCATTTTAACACCAAATAATTATTACCTAAATCGAATTATTTATAAAAGTCCTGTCAATTTAGACTGCCAAGGTTAAAAAATCACAATTGGCTGAATATTGATAGGATTGTTCAGTACTCTATTATTTTTTTAATCTGTGGCTTCGTATAAATTTTTTTTAAATATATTTCGCAAGTTGATTTTGACAGACAGCCCTGGATTCCAATTTATTTTTATGGCATCAATTCTGTAAGCTATAGCCCACACCCACCCTGGAATTGACTGCGCCCTCAAAAGGTTAACCTTGTTTAACGATTTGTTTGAACATAAAAGGCTTTTATGCACGTTACTTTGACGTGAGGATCATTTACATTAAGTTGATAGAAGTCACATTTGAATATATTTTAATGTTTAGCTGGAGATTAAGGGTTATTTTTATAAATATGTGAATAATATAACAGTATTTATTTAATAGTTTAATTCTGTTTTCACGTAAACATAAAAAATAATGATTTTTCCTAATCGTAAAATGCTATCATCATTTACAAACTCCATTAATAAAAGACCAAGAAATATCAATAAATTGTCCCAAATTTTGATATTAACTAAAATATATGAATAAGGAATAACAGTTACTTAATAAACGCTATATAAAATTTCTGAGTAATTTTTTCGCTCCCTCGTAGTTAGTATAATTATCCAATTTCAGGTAAAGCTAGACATTTAAAGGACTCGTGGATGCATTTCCGTTTCCCGTGCCCACAGAGAATACTTGAATTTCCTACCTCAATTTTATACTCAGAGCACCGTTTGGTAGAACTGAGTGGCTACTTTTTTAATTAAAATTAATCCTAACGAGTTTTTACAACTTTATAGTTTTTTATTACTATATACATTTTAGTTAAATCTCTTTATATACCTAAAAAACTTTTCACTCAAACTTATTTTGTTAAAATGTAAATAATAAGCAGTCGTAGTTAATCTCAAACAATTTTATTTTTTACATTAAAAACTGAATTTAAAACTATTGATAATAATGAATAAAAAATAACTTAGAAGACGCGTGAAATTTTGGTACAATAGTGGAACTTATTAAAAAACTCAAAGAAAATCTCTAAAAAAGCTTATCTCTAGACCGTAAAGATTAAAAAACTATATCAAAAGCCTTTTAATATAGTATACAATATTAATTATCTGCCGTTATCGTAATTGTTTCAGTTTTTTCATTCTGTGTCCCAGTAAACTAGTTTTAAACGGGTCAAGGTCGGCGAGATACGGGAAGGGAAGGAAACGTAGGTATTGCGTACTGCGGAAACTTGTTATTGATTGACAACTTTTAAAATATATATCCATAGACAATCACTGTTTTTATAGAATAAAAATATAAAGACTATTACTTCTAATAAATATAAACGTTGACATTGGCAGAATATACCACGATTGTAGTGCGAATAAAATCATAGCATTAAAAAAAATATATGTCACAACATTTTTGGCAACTTTATAAAAATATTTAATACATAAATAAAATTATAAAATACTTGCGTACAAACGCTTCTATACGACTAAGTTGAAAGTAAAAGTGAACGAAAGCGAAAGTGTAGTCATACAACACTAAACATGGCAACACTGAGATTTAACATTAATCATATTGCAAAAACGAAACCAATAAGTAATTCTCGCAATTATTATGTCCATTGTATTTGAAGTTTTATATAATAAAGCATAATGATAATGTTAAAACCGTACAATTCGAAAGTAATAAAGAAATTTTTGACTAATCTTAATCCATTATCCAATAAGCGATGAAAAACAATAGAAGTGCGTGATTCAATCATAATTAATGTATTTAAGGTTCGTTTCCACTGAAACTTAGTTTATAAGCGACTATAAGATAATAGTTAATATATTAGCGTTGTACATCGCTTCACCCTTTTAATGTGACCGCACCTTTATAGCAGTTAATTATGAACGAATTCAGATTATCTTTTGTGGTATTTTTATTAATCAACACGTATGCGATTAAGTGAAAATTATTTTTTATTCAAAGAAAATTAATATTAATTAATAAACTTGAATTTGTTATGAAATATTTGTGTCTTTTTATAGTTAAAGTGTTTAGACTAGGTATATATAATTGACGTTAGATTTATAAGTAACTTTAATTAAACTTCTGTCATCGTTCAAAATAAAAAAAACCTTTTTTAGGATTCTTAAAATTATATTTAAATTACGTAGTTTGAAAATTGTTTGTATTTTAGTTTCTGAATTCCTTAAAAGCTTTTTGTATTATTTAATAATATTATAACAATATAGATCTTATAACAAAATGTATTTCTTAGTGAGTCGATCCATATAGTGTTGATTTTTCAAAGTGGTCAATTTTTTAGGGGATTACACGATTACTACGATGTATTTATTTATGGTATTTAATATTATATATATATATATTATACATATACAGGGTGACTGGTGAATTACTATCGATATTGGAGGACGTGATATTTGACGATCATATATGACAAAATAAAAATTAATATAACATAAATATTAATAAACTTCTAAATAAAGTTAACCAAAAGTTGTGTAATTAATTACGCATCGTATGAACACCCTACAGATTAGGTATACACATACACACACGCGGCGGGGGCGTGGTTTTGTATCAGCACGCCGCCGCACGCGTCCACACTTGGAACACTTGGAACGTGTCAACACTTTATTTATTTATACGGAAATTTGGTCAAAAATTAAGTACCTATTTTTTTTACATAATTCGAATGAGAATCATGTACCGAGTATGCTCCTTAAATATTGATAGTAATTCACCAGTCACCCTGTATATGTATGTATATATATATAATATATTAATTGATGAGATGCTATTATATATATACAGGTGACTGGTGAATTACTATCGATATTTGAGGACGTGATATTTGACGATCATATATGACAAAATAAAAATTAATATAACATAAATATTAATAAACTTCTAAGTAAAGTTAACCAAAAGTTATGTAATTAATTACGCATCGTATGAACACCCTACAGATTAGGTATACACACACACTCACACATACGCGCGCGGCGGCGTGTTGTTGTATCAGCACGCCGCCGCGCGCGTTCACACTTAGAACACTTGGAACGTGTACACACTTTATTTATTTATACGGAAATTTGGTAAAAAATTAAGTACCTATTTTTTTTACATAATTCGAATGAGAATCATGTACCGAGTATGCTCCTTAAATATTGATAGTAATTCACCAGTCACCCTGTATATTAATATGTGTATAAATTGTCTTGTCTATAAATAGTAGGAAAAGACCTTTCACTAACTTACTTATAAAATATGTATAATTGCCTTATTTTTTCTTTTATTGTAAGTCAATAAGTTCGTATGTTAACAACCTTTGTAGGAATTAATAGATAAGTAGAGGCTGTAAAAGTACAATTAATAAGTACATTTATATAGATTTAAGTCAAATATTACATCAATTAATATTCACGATCTGTTATTATAGGACAATATTCAAAACTTCAAAAGAAACAGTAATATCAAGACGTATACATATACAGGGTGACTGGTGAATTACTATCAATATTTAAGGAGAATACTCGGTACATGATTCTCATTCGAATTATGTAAAAAAATAAGTAGTTAATTTTTTACCAAATTTCCGTATAAATAAATAAAGTGTGGACACGTTCCAAGTGTGGACGCGTGTGTGTGTGTGTATACCTAATCTGTAGGGTGTTCACACGATGCGTAATTAATTACCTAACTTTTGGTTAACTTTACTTAGAAGTTTATTAATATTTATGTTATATTAATTTTTATTTTGTCATATATGATCGTCAAATATCACGTCCTCAAGTATCGATAGTAATTCACCAGTCACCCTGTATATGAAGAAAGCGATTTTTTTTTTAATTTATGCTATGCCTTTATTCACACTGTATTCGTAAAAAGGTTTTATTAATCCTAAATATTCTCACACAATTGTTTACTAACAGTAAGGTGACGTGTAAATGGGAAATTCATGTTTTAAACGGATCACGATGTTTAAGATGTTCTATATGCAGAAGAAAGTCTCCTTGAGATGTCGTTATTAATTCTAAAACGGGAATAAGTAGGGATAAGTCGTTGGCCGAGCGTTGGCTGGGAGCCAGGGTGATTCAGACTTGTACAGGGAACTGATCCAGATACATATTATTATGCAATAAATAAAGTAAACAAAACGAGGTTTTACTGTTTACAAATAGTAGTTTACAAAAGAGGTTTTACTAAACTAACATATATAAAATGTGTTTAAATTTCAATATCGCCGAAAATTGTGTTTGTTTTAATTAACTTTAATTTGTAGTCTGTTGTACAAATATTTTCAAATATATCTAATTCTGATATTTAAAATTCCTTTTACGGTCACAAAAGTTACTATTAGATATTTTTAAGGAGAAAATACGAACCAAGAAAGTCGTTAAAACTTGTCAAAAATCTTTGAACTTAATTGGTTCCAAAGAGTGAGTTGAATCCTAAATTAATTAATTACAGGCTTACCGCTTTAACTTCTTAATTAAAGGCCTCCAGAATCCAGAGTCGAGAGCTTTAAATATAAACTACTGGACCGTTACAAACTTTTTTTTAAATATAAAATCTCATATTACTAAAATATTATACTTTAAAATAGTACCTACTTGGTATTAACAGAAATTTAATGTTGAAAAACACATCCATTGATTATTACTGAAATAATATTTGAATCAAAGCAGATCAGCGTTTCTTTACGATTTTGATGTGTAGCAATAAATTGTATAAATATAAAAAAATTTAAAATCAAATCAAAATGTATTAAAACACAAGAATAAATAACAATCTATATTTATAAAAAAAATATCTGACTTTTTATAGTCTATACCATGTCATAAAATATAATCTGTACTAAAACGGAAGTATTAATGAATGGATTAAATTAAAAATCTAAAACGCTAAGCCATGGTAATTTCTTAAAGCTTTCCAACAATCCATACTTCTGGTTTATCGTAAAAAAATCGTAATTCTTTTCCGTTACTATCCATTAATTATGGTATAAAATATATAAATGGATGATACATATGTCATATATATAGACTGTTACATAATATGCATCAGTTAACATTGGCATTGAGTCGTCACATTGATACGCCCTCGTACTAACACCCAATGCAATTTTAATAAAACAATAAACGAAATTGCAGTCACTTTGCAAGTAAGTGTCTTGTCTATGGCCGCGTCGCTTATTTCATTCGTTCAATTGATTCACTCGCTGTAATAAAGTTATTTAATCAAAAAAAATTATGATAATTTAAAATATATAGATCGTCATGTGCAATTTTTTTAATAGTATAGTACCATAAAAAAATTGAATAAAAAAAATATGATGGTGCTACCATCACAATGGTTCCCGGGGAAATAAAAAAAAAATTGTTCAAATGAAATTTTATAACAGTATTTAAATGATTTTTAGTTGAAATATATACGTATAATATGTTTTTCATTAGGAATATATTTTTAAACTTAATAACGGAACTCATAAAGTAATAATAAAGTCAGTGGTGGCCTAGTGGTTCACAGGCCCGCCTCTCGTTGCCGAGGGCGCGGGTTCAATCCTGGCCCGGGCAAGTACCAATGTGATTTTTCCGAGTCATATCACATATGTACTTTGTAAGACTATTTAGACACCACTGATTAATGTTGATTCCCAAAAGAGGGTTGATGTCAGGCAGGCGGCCGGTCGTAAAAACAAATAGCCAAAACTATTCGCAATATGTAAGGCAGACCCTGGCTATAGCTGGGAAATTGCCAGGTAGAAAAAGAAGAAGAACGGAACTCATAAATTGGTTTTGCGTATTTATGAGCTTGTCATATTCGGTACTCTCATGGTTTTCCTTTATAAATATACAAAAATATTGAGGTAGGTAATGGTAAGGTAAATCTTGACATTGTTGTAGAAATTCAAATAGATCGATATTAGTAAATATGGATGATCAGGATTTGATCGGATTATCGTACCAAAGTTGGTCGCGTTTGGAGTAATTAAGTTACAAGTTTAAATCCGATTAATATCTTTTACCCGGGACTGAATTTGTAGGAAAGGTAATTGATAAGATGTTCATACGAACTACACGTGTTTTATATAACTGCTACGTAACTCATAAAAGTAATTTACTTCTAACAAAAAAACTTAGTAAACTATAATATATTAAATATATTATTACTTAAACAAGTTCTAATAAAATTGAAACGTCGTGTACAAAATATACTTTATATTCTATATAAACAGTCGTCTGAATTGAGGTAGGATAAATCTATTATAATGAGAATTTCCCACGGTTAACGTTGCCAGTATAAACACTACCAATTTTATGTTCTTCCTTGTGAAATGCGTCTTTTTTCACGTGACTATATTCAAAACATTCTTAAAGAAGCTAATTGATAGTGCGAGACAGTATTATATTATTTGCATGCATAGTTCATGTAATATTAGTCGTGTCCAAAGGTTACTGACATCTGAAGATGTTTCGAGCGGAGCCTACGGGCAGTAGATTTTATCTTTTTGATGAGTCAAGTACGTGTGTAAATTTATTTATATGATATAAATTAATTGCAATAACTTTAATAAATTATTATGTTCACCTTAAATGATTAACTCGTTACTTTTTATATAGATTGTATTTTTATTTATTAAATTTTAAGTACATATTAATTATTAACCTTTTTTATATTTTCATTCATAAGAGAGAAAGTGTTCAAAATACCGCAATAAAATATCGTCTATATTTTTTTTAACGTCTATGCCATGTTACTAAAATATTTCATCAAAATCTTCTGTGTAATTTTTCTGTGTGAGAGCTACAAACATTCAAACATTCTCGCAAACTTTCACATTTATAATATTATATAAAGTAATTTTCAAAGCGGTCTTAAAATGACAAAATATATTTTCGGTACTTTAGTTCTGCTGTGTCTAAAAAAGTGTATATTTTTATATAACATTTAATAATCAATAGCATACATGTATATTCATAACAATATTATAAGGTATAATGGAAAAATAATTCTAAAATTTAAGTATTCTTATAACTCATGCGACATTTATATAATTTGAGTTCGTAAGTATACGAACTCAAATTATATTATAAACGGATAATAAAACGAAAGAATATTATACAGCACCTATTATTTAAAGCATGGCTTACACATATATCATATATGTTATTTAATCTCCTGCATTCAAACATACGTGAACAGAAATATCTGACCTGGATCAAGACTCGCAACCAGACAAATGCAATAAATCAAACGAAATAAAACATGGACCGGATTTCAATACAATATATATAGAAATGACAGCTCATCTTATGATTGACGATATATTTAATTACATTTTTAAACGATCATCAATCAATATTGCTCACTGAAACAAAACACAAGTTACTAGTAATCTTGAAATAATGAAGTAAATTTGTTTATATGAAATGAAAATAAATTTATATTTCAAATTTCAGGGACAGCGAAGATGGAGAAAAAACTGATGAAGTGGCCCGCGTTCCGCCACACTGTCACATTACAATAAAATGTACTAGAGAGGTAAGGTTTGATGTATATAAAATAAAGCTTCCAACGAAAGAAAGAATTATCAGTAGAATAGTTGATTTAGATAAGGCTTAACCTACCTACATTTGGGTCGTAAGTCCCAGTCACTGTTGAAGCTCCTCTCCCTGCAACTATGGACCCGATACCCAAACTGTGAATACATTGAATGATGAGAGGTTTCGTCTTTACGCTTAGTACAAGTTTACATCATCACACTAGATGAAGCGTTTGTCATTAAAAAACTACGTTAATATTATCATATAACAAGATTTATTAATGTAAAAACTATTAACGTCTATATAGTCCATGCCAACTTAAACTAATCTTATTGAATACTACAAGACATTAAACTCAACATTTCAACCTGAACTTTATTTCTTTGGCTCCATTTTCAAAGATATTCATGGAACAATTACCCAACACTACCAAGAACAAAATATTTACAAGTGAATCTATGTATTTCTAGATAGTTGGGTTGTTTGTTATAGATCGCTGGTTTCAACGGTCTGTCGGAAGCTGTTCGTAGATTGGACTTCTCATCAGCTGTTCGTGACGTCAGACGCTTCAACTATATCTGCGCACTCCTGGAACTACTGCTTGGTGGACAGAAGTTGACCAACTTACCAGGAGCTGCTCAGAAGTTGTTATTATCTATGCTGGAACAACTAGCTGTCCAAGGTCAGTTAAATTTATCTTGTTTTCGCTTATTTTATCGTTATATTAGTGACTGTATAGTATTAAGCGTATTTTGAAACAGTTCTTTTTTATTTTTGAAACAACTTGAAAGGTCGATCTCATTGATTTGTTTATTTACGAAGAAACAAAAATTTTAACAATACATTTAAATAAAACTACATTGTGTGAATTCAGATACATTTTGCAGAAATACTATTTTCATACGATAATATAATACTCAGATATGTGTCATTAGTAATTATTAAATTCAAAGAAATATAACACAGCGGTTGTCGGTATAGCTCAGAGAGTTGTATAAAAATGATATCACAATATTCCTCTCGCGTAATTATTTATCAAATACTAAGACAACTTTGAGCTTATGCTCGTATAAAAATTAAATCGAAAATTTAGCAAAAGTTATTAGAGCAAAAGAACCAACTTGCAGAACATGTATAGACGAGCAATTGTAGCACAAGTTGCTATTATCATGCCTCCTCAGTGGCGCGGTCGAAGCAAAACCTTAACGCGCTTCGAGCGCTGCTGACAGCACTGGCAGCGCTTAGAGAGGCTGAACGACGAGCCTGTTGGGGTCGACCGCTGGGGTCCCGCGCGCTCTGGGGTCATCATAGACACGCCATCGAACGGATCTACCACATCGCTGATGGCATCGCCATACAAGAGGTATTTACTACCCTATATCAAGAACAGCGTTAAAGTTTACGTGGCTTTAAGTTACCATACGATAAGATGATTGACTGAAAATCTTCTTCTACCTGGCAATTTCCCAGCTATAGCCAGGGTCTGCCTTACATGTTGTGAATAGTTTTGGCTATTTGTTTTTACGACCGGCCGCCTGCCTGACCTCAACCCTCTTTAGGAATGCATTAATCAATAATTAGTGATGTCTAAATAGTCTTAGAAAGTACATATGACTCGGAAAAATCACATTGGTACTTGAACGGGCCAGGATCGAACCCGCGGCCTCCATAACGAGATGGACGGCCCTTTAACCACTAAGCCAAGCTGACTCACTAGGCTAGACTCACTAGACTGAAAATCTAATACCATTAATTTTTTAATATGATTATCCAATACTTAGTTTATCCCTCCAACATAATGGTAACAGTTTTTAACTTTTAATTATAATTTATAAGATTTCTTTTTTGTTAAATCCAGTTTTTTGACAATTTTGCGATCTCATGCTCGTGACAGGCGCCAATGTATTTATTTATTCACCCTTTATATAAATAAAATTTAATATACAGCATGTGCCGTGTTGTTGAAACGAAACTAATATTTTCGGACTACTCCCGACGTCTCGGTTGCTGCGAAGTAATAATCCGAAAATATTAGTTCCATTTAAAAGAATACTACCGAAAGTTCTAGATCTCATTATGTTTCGGATTGTTCTATGTCAAATATCGAAATCTTGTTTTTATAGCTTTTAACGGACGTAACACATCTACTAATGCACACAATTCTGTACGATACCATGAATTTTGTCACTCAAGTCGAACTGAATGTTCCCGTTGCTATATTTTATACGAATAAGGTTGAAATAATACATATGAATTAACATATGTAGTCTCATCGTAAAAATATTCGAATGGACGAGAAAATGGTACTGTATAGTAACAATAATAAAAATCAACACCACTTTGTAGGTATAGTTATGATCTCAAGGTCGTATGACTTGTACATACCTTCAATATGAACAATATACTATATGTGTGTAACATATTTACCGGTACACACACATACAAAGCATAAATTCTCTACAAAATATAATTACTGTACTCCATAGTGGTACAATTATTAAGTTTCGTTATTATATACATTTCAATCATGTACTTTTGTTATATAAAATATTTTCTTGTTTGAAAACTCATCCAGAATTCTTCTTACTAAAGCAAAGACTTACTAGATACTTTGAAGTCGTGTCGTTTTCTTCGATGTTCAATATTATTAAGTAATCCTTCGCCTATTCCTACATCTTCTAAATCTTTCACTTTAAAACTTTAGAAGTGAGATGGAGTTATAGTCTCATCTTTATGTACACATAAAACATTTACTGATTGTCATCAATTTTGTTTCTTATCCACTTTTAGTATTTAATGCTTTATTAAAGAAAATCTAATGAATATTTTACCATCAGCCGGGACCAGAAGTAGTTCCCAAGCTTCATGATTTGCCTGAGGAGTGCATCCGAGAGATATTGTTGAGAATATCTGATCACAGGGACTTAGAGGTGAGTACGACAACTTTTACATACATTCAATAGTCACTGGTTTTGATGAATGTAAAAAAATAACCAAAATAATTTCTTTTATTTCAATTACTTTAGATTTGACTTTAAATTTTGAAATACAGCTTCTCTATTTGAAGAAACATGAGTACAGTGAAAACTGACATTGGTCCCTTTGCTAACTCTAAAGAAAATTCTCATCACAAAACGACTATTTAGGGATGAATAATAATTTTTATATATATCCTAGTATTCATAAAGTCACAACTGATTATTAATCAACTCTCACCTTTTCTAGTTTACTAAAGATTTAAATTCTATATGGACTGTTAATTTCTAACTTTTTTCAAACAACCAAAGGCTGCATCATCAGCGTGGCCAGTGATGGCGTCGTTGTGTTCTGAACAGCAGTTATGGCGTGAACTCGTCAACTTCCACTTCACACAACAACAGATCGACTCGGTCAATAAGGATGAGAAGAATATAGACTGGAATAAAGTCTTTCACCAGCTCAGGAAGTAAGGAACAATAGACCTATATTAAGTAAAAAGCTTGAAAAAATGAAAGATCAATAGTTTGATAAAGGATTCTTGATAACTGCCTCTTTTGAGAAAGAAAGAATTATTCATCAAGAAGCTACTATGATCTCTTGAAATGTCTGTATTATATTATGTTTTAGGTTGTACGGTCTAAGAGAAGACGCCCAGTACGCAGAGACATTGTCTCTATGTAGACACTGCAAATGTCTGTTTTGGCGGTCCTTGGGACATCCATGTATTGCCGACCAGGTGAGAAGTAAAACGAAACATATACAAAAATATATTTAAAAAAGTTTATTTCAAATAATCTTTTAAAGCTTCATACTAATGGAGCATGTTATTTTATAGTGTCCTGAATATCGTGAACGTGTCCGCGAGGCCGGCGGACCGCTCCCTCCACACCCGGTGCCTCCAGCGGCATTCCTCAAGTTTTTCTCTCTTTAATTATATATTTTTTTAAAAATCATCCTAATCCTGAACGGTCAAATCAGGAAATTTCTGAACGCAACGCTGACTGACGCAACCATTTTAAATTGTTTGACAAAATGTCAATTTTTATTTTTCAAAACTTTTTATCTTAAGTTTTTGATAAAATTATAAGTACAGTTCACATAATGTTGATGCTATTTATATCTTCCGCTGCCATTTTCGGTAGATGACATACATTAATCAGTATTCTGATTTTGTATTCTTTCTACATAACATTTCTAACTTAGCAGCTTATTTTAGCTTTAATTGTTTTACTGGAAACTTTTTTTAGATGAAAAAATAATATATGTATAGTTGATCTCATTTACAAACCTAAAAAAATGATAAAAATAATAAAATAGAGTAACCAAACTCCGTTTTAAAAAATATTTTTACATACTGCTTAATATGAATTTAGTCAAAAGTACCGCATCAGTATTTTAAAATTACGGAAAAATCTACATAATAGTGTTGGTAACTACTAAAAATATTCATGTTCATCTTTAAATTATTATAACTCCAAAATGCTGTCCATTCCATTTAACTTGAAGGATGGAAACTTAAACAATATTTATATGACAAACAAGTTTAAAATAAAAACAATATTCTTCCAAATTATGTAATTTAGCATAAAAGAAAAATTGTATATAATATACATTCAAATTGGATATGTATTGTTATAATGTATTAATAACTAATAAAGTGTATATATCCTATTATTTAAAAGAAAGGATGTTAATCTTGTTGTTGCAACTGTGCTTTTACTAATTTCTTGTAGCAGATTATAACTGCTGTCACTATTATGCTAGATTAAGGAGTACTGACAATGTTTGACCTATTTTATCGTATTAATAATAGATTAATTAAAATTTTCTTTTCGGTCGGGAAATGGGCAATATATGATTGATTTTGATTAAGAAGATAAATTATATGTGTGAAAAATTATTGTCCTTATTAGCCACTTAGTTAAATGGTACTAAGTTGTGTTGAACTAAAACGTTTTTCGTCCACTATACTATTTCTTCACTCGAGTCTGGTGTATATTATGAAGAACATATATTTCTATACTGTCATAAAATACAATATAATATTTTTGTATAATGTAAAACGTAAGCTGCCTGTTCAAATCGGCCCTAAACCTAAGATAAGCTACATCTAGTGTGAGTTATAAATATAGGTACATTGTTATTGACTTCCAAATTTTTCGAGTAGATGTTATGTGATACTTAATCGTAACATTAATATATGATGTTACTTTGCACTCCTGATATGTTATCGAAAACAAAAAAAAAACCTGCTGCTATCTTAGCTTTTAAGAATTATAAAAACTCAAAATTATATTTAAAAAACAAAGGAAATAGATTACAATGTTTTGAGTTTTGATTTCAACAGATTCAATAAGTTATTTGTTGTCTGTGGAAATGACATTTAATAATAATAGGTACGTTTTGTTTTTCTTATATTAATAAAAATGCTTATTCTAATATATGTAATTACTTTCTCTGATGAGAGTCTATAGTGTCCTTAAATGTGTGACTTAGTAACCAGTTTGTAGATTGTAAGTTAAAATTTTTTATTTAGTGATTTTTATTTATTCTGTGATGTTCTAAGGATATTTTCTTTGAATACCTTACAATGATTCTTCAAAATAAAATTATTTTAGTGAATACTGTTTTACTTTATCCTAATAGGTTTAAATTTGACTAGAAATAGCAAACATATAGCTCCGAATGAGATGAGTTGATAATCTAAGTTTAAAGGAACTGAAAACATTTTCAATAAAACAAACTTGTTCAGATGTTTCCAATTACTTATTGGAGTACTTTCTTTCTGGACCTTATTTATTATGTAAAATTTTGTCTGCCACCAAACAATTCAATAATGTAGAATTGATTTTCTGTACTAACAGGACTTAGAAATTGCTTTCATCATTGTAAATAGGGCACCATGTAACAAAATCTCAAATATATAATAATCTGATTCCAAATATAGTTAGAAAGTCGGCCCCTAGTGTCTATCAACACTAAATTTTATTAAACTTTAGATTTTTATTACTTATGAATTCTAAAAGGAGATTAAAACTGAAACCCCTTGAGAAAAAAGTTTCGTCTCATTCCTAAACTTTACATGATGAATTTCTGAGAAAACAAAGGTATAAGCAATTTTTAGGATCAGATTGCAGTGTGAATGTCTTTTTAAATTGATAATAATGACAAAGAATAAACATAATTCATATAACTATACATTTATTTATAATATGGAAATACAAACCATAACTTAGTTAAGCATATTGTATAGATACATTACAGGACAATATATCTGATTATCATCACAATATTTCTACTTCACTTTTGAGCATCACCCGAGTTCATTTTTAACTTTATCACAATGTCTTACGAGATCTTTGAGTTTATACACGAGATCCTGCAACTGCTGGGTGCCACAAGTAAAGCGAACGTCTTTGCCATCGGTCTTCAAAACAACTGTGTATAATAAATTATCAGAACCGACGCCTGGCGTGTTTGTCATTACCTCCAGTTTCCACTCGACATCTGAGATTTTTGGTAAAAAGTTACTGCTCGCACAGCTTGGTTCCATAGTAATTATAATAAAAAAATATATCTCTAAATATTTATTATGTATCGAAATAAAGACGTTTAAATTTTAGTGTAGATATAATTTTAACGTGTTAACAAAGTATTCGGCGAAAGGAAGAACTGTAAGCAATTTTTAGAACTGTTAGAAATACTGTAAACTGTAAGCAAGAGTTTATTCCTTTTTTATTATGCTCTCGCTTCATGGGAGTTTATTAATATTTCCCAGTCAAGAATACAATTCAAACCCATAAATGTCAAATATCAAATATGACAATTATCAATGTCAAAGTATATAACGTCATATGCCAAAAACATAGGTATCAGTATTCAGTTTTGTAACCGTGTATTAAACTTGACTTTGGAGAATTATAGTTCGTTGTTTTAAATATGGCCTTCATCCGTACAAAGATGTGTACAGTATATTCCACCAGTGCCGTGTAGACTGGAGGAGACACGATCTGGGATTAACTTAGGAATAAAATAAGATAATTATATACATTTTGGTTTAATTTTTTAAAATAAAAAAAAACTTTATTGACTCAAGGATTACATAACAAACAAGTAGCAAAGGTCCTTTATTTTGGTCTTTGTCAGTCTGTAGAAGTCAAGTCTACTGTTTAGTTTATAATAAAGATAGGACGATTGATAATTGTATTGTTATTTTCTTACCAGCGCAACCGTTAACAATTTGTATGAACTCCTGCGCAATTATGTGCTTCTAATATTTAATGGGATTTTTAAACACTTTTTAATAAAAATATATTAAAATAAAAATCAGAAACATTCGGTATACACGTCTACACTTGGCAGTAGTCCGGGGGGAAGAGGAAAAATACCATTACATTTATTCTTTGTAGCTGGCTTCTTAAGTGAACGAAAGAAGTTTTATATCAGTGTAATCTAGTTCTTGTACCAATTTATTTTCTATAAGCTGTAGCACAAGTATATGCAGTCTGGCTTTTATCACTAAAGCAAAATAGTTAAATGTCAATAAACAACACAAAGATTCTGAGAATGATTTTAGCATATTTAATTTGCGGAAACATTTAATATTTGCATCATTAGAAACATTTTTAATGGTTGTAAATTTTTACTTATTTGATGCTAAATTAAACCACTAACCGTTTTAAAATCTAGTCATTCTATTATTTCAAGAACCAATATTTTTGTTTTCCATACGTAATTACATCCCTTTGCTGTGGTTACTTAACTCTTTTAACCGGAAATTTTAATAATATAATGATAATAATCTAAATATTGCATGTTTTAGTAATAAATTTCCGAAACTAATAAAAAATTAAAAATAGCAGAAATTAAATAAAACACTGATTTTTATTGTTACTTCATTATTCATGTTTTATTGATACATAATTCACATAAAAATATAACATTTAAAACAACATTTTAGTATATAAAATTCATTTGTAAAGACACTTAGGTATCCATTTAAATAATATAAGGCACAACAGATGAGGACAAAGCTTTTTTTAATATTGTTATTAGTTATAAACACCCTAATGTTACACTTTATAAGCTTTTCTTATACAATATACATATAATGTATTAATTTTGGCCTTAAATAATATTTATTTGAATAATCATATACATAAGTCTGGTGGAAAATATATTGCAACACAAATAACCCGACAATTGTTTCGAGATTCATAGTACAATGTACATTTTTTTAATATATAGGTGTTATATAGAAACATTATTTTTATTATAGGGAGAAATATATTTTTTAATTAATATTAAATTTAATAAATTAGTGTTTCAAAAATAAATTTACGAATTAAATTAATAAAAGTCTAAATAAAAGAAAAAATCTTCAAAAATACAACCTATTTCTAACAACATGGAGTGGCAGTAAATAAGCTTGGGTTTTGTGATTATTTTTGTACAACTATCACTTTTTTAATCCCCTCAAACCTATGCAAATTTTTTCTTATAACATTTGTTCTAACCATATTTAAAAACTAAAATATTTGGTGGCCGGGTTTGAAGGGGTAATGGCACTGTCAAAATATTTTACATGGAAGGTAATTTTAACATATTGTTGCATATTATCTATCATATGTTCCACAACACAAAAATTAGATAATTCGTTGTTATTACTTCATTGTTACAAAAGTGATGGATACATTTGTATTTTATTATAAATGTGTTAACTACAAGTACTTCACCATTATCATTTGTTAAGTTATATCAGCGTTTCATTTTTTCTAGTATGGGTAGTATCATTTCGAAGGAAGGTCGCTTTCCAGGGTCCTCGTTCATGCAAATCTTGATGAGTTTCGAGATGTGAGGCGAGACACCTGGTGGAATTGTAATCCTGAGGCCTTCAAGTGCTATCTTCATACCACATTCCATTGGTGATAGATCGGCGAATGGAATCTGGAATAAAAATATTATTATTTTTATATTGTTGGAAATATTTTACCAATTGTGTGTAATACTATAAAGAGATGGTGGAAACATCGAAAAATATTATTTTTTATATTTTATTGAATAAATAAAGGGTTTGTGTTTGTATATAAATAAAACATGTAGGTGAGCAGTGACAATGAAGAGGGCGCCACTGACTTGTCAGTGACTTGAAACACAAGAAATTCAAAGATGAATAAATCTAGATAACCAAGATCGAATTTGACTTACAATTGATATATTTACACAAATTCAAACTGTATTCCAAACAAACATGATTATCACGTTTTGTAACCTCGTTACAAGTGATGTCATAACTCATACCTCTCTGGTAGCCAATTCCCACAGTAACACGGCGAAGCTCCACATATCCGCCGCCTCCCAGTTCCTCTTACTGCTCGGCTTAGTCAACGCCTCCGGGGACATCCACGCCGGTTGATACACACGCGCGCGCTCTTGGAACGAGAACTTCGCGTCCGCCATATTGATGCGAGCTGTCAAATCCTCATCGATCTGTCAAATAGATTGTTTTCAATTATTAATTACCTATATACTTAATATGTTCATAGCAAAAATTAAATGTCAAGAACCTTTCGAATTAATTTTATGTTTAAAAGTTAAACATATTTTTTTACAAATATTATTCTTTATACCAGTTAACTAGCACCATGTACATAATATTGTAACGCACTCTAAGCTAAAAGTACCTTTGAATGAATACTATATGTCCGGTTAATTTTAGTCAATGTTCCATTATAACCATCAGCAGTAACTAATAATTCATATAAGTTACACTCATTAACTCACCATAATATGTCTGCTGTTCAGATGATACTGCGGCAGTACTCTATCTCTTTGCAGCGAGTGTAAGTAAGCCATGCCAGCGGCGACGTCCCTCGCCAATCTGACCGCAGCCCCCGCGTCAACTAGCACCCTGCCTCCGCCGTCGTGTAATAAAGCGTGGAGAGAACCCCACGACATGTATTGAGATATCACCACCAAAGATGGCGGGGACACACAACAACCCACCTATAATAATAAAAATATACGACACTATACATAAAGAAATCCAAATGCATATATAATACTAGAAGACCCGGCGAACTTCGTATCGTCCTATAATCAAGAAAAATCTGTTACATTTTTTTATTTATATTTTTGGAGTTTACCTATTAAAGCCATAAATCTCCGTGTTTTGAAGTGCCACAGAATCATTGACATATTAGTTAGTTGTCAAATCTAATGTAAAAAAAAACGTTTGTATCACCAACTACTAATAAATTAAAAATTAATTAAAAAAACATTGTCCAGCGGACAAAATTGTGAATCTAAACCATTCCCAGATCCCCTTGAACACACACAAAAAATTTCATCAAAATCGGTCCAGTCGTTTGAGAGAAGTTCAGTGACATACACACTCACAGAAGAATTATATATATAAAAGATGTATGTTCTGCATGAGCAATATGAAAATATATATAGTGGATCCAATGTACTGAGAGATTACCAACAAAGATAGTGAAGACATGCAACAACCCACCTACAATTATAAGTAATTAGGTACAATTGAATAGAAAAGGATAACATTCTTAATATAATGAGTTTGCCAGAGCAAAAGAAATAGTACCAAGACAATGTGTTTCAAGATATAATGGAGTTTACTTCATTATATCTTAAAATACATTGAGTTTACTCAAACTGGACTCAAAAAAACTTAAATTGTCAAAATAATTCAAATGGCGACGGAATGTTCTTACGATTAGATTAAAAATAAAATAATGGGAGCAACCTGTTATAAATAGTATACATAAGACCAAAAAGAGAGAGAAGTGAACAAATAAGCTATAGGAGTTTAAAGAGACCAATGTCTAAGGACTTCCAATTTGATGAGGGGGTGTTAAACAACGTGAGGTGTTTTTTTAGATTTGTGATTCCCCCCCCCCCCGCCTTGGTGAGATGTCGTGAGATTTTATTCAACCCCGTCCCCCCAACCCCCAATCTCAAGTGAGATTTTTTTTTCATGGGGACGGTGGCTTGACAGTCAGTAAATGTATAACGTTGAAGTATAAAAGAAACTTTTTTTTAACGACTTAGGGAATGATCTTCATCGTATAACGATTACACTTGAGATAAAATCTTATATGTACAATCTGGATTAAATGGACCAATACGGTTTTTTTTTTGGTTTCATTCAGAAAAAAAATACGTGATATTTGCAAAGAGACCCCCCTCCCTCCAACGTAAATATCTCACGTATTTTATGAACGCCCCCTTAAGTTTGCCAACAAAAAATTGTAAAGATTTAAAGTAGAAACTGATACCTGATAAGGTAAGTAAGGCAGAAATATAAGATTAGTTATAATTAGTTAGTAAAAGGTAGAGTGACTCACCACAGGCAGTATATTTGGATGTGAAAATATTCTCAACTTGGGGAATTCCTCATTAAAATCTCTCTGTATTCTTGGTGTACACTCCCTAACTGCTATTATTTTGGCAACTATGTCATTCTTCTGCCATCTGCCACGCCATGTTTCACCTGAAATATGGATAAAAATATTACAAATTGAATTATCTTTGAATTAAATGTATAATATAGTGCAATATTTTTGTAGTAATTAAAATCCAAATCAGAGACAAAACCTCTCATTCATGTATTCACAGTTCGAGTGTGGGGTCCATCGTTGTAGGGAGAGGAGCTTCAACAGTGACTGGGACTTGCGACCCAGGTGTAGGTTTAAGAAACCCCTATCTAATTCGCATTAAACACTAACCTCCACCATCCAAGCTCCATAATAGTATGAATAAAATCCCTAATGCAGTGCTTGGGCTTTTGTTTCAACTTACGACCCAGGTGTAGGTTTAAAGAACCTCTATCTAATTCGCATTAAACGCTAACCTCCACCATCCAAGCTCCATAATAATTGGAATAAAATCACCAAAGCAGTGCTTGGGCATATTTTTTTTTTAGATATACATATATAAAAGTACATTACCAGATGGTGTAACAGCAATCCTTGTATGTAGCGCCAGTTCACTGATGTTGATTCCCTTATGTCTGGAGAGTGTAGCGTCACGGCTCCTCGTCTTGAGGCCGAGCCAGGAACGATCAATGAATTGGATTTTCTTCAAATCTTGCCCTTGATTCACTGCTAGCTCATGGAGTCTTATATGGAAAATAAGTAAGAAATAGAGTCGTGAGTGTCATGAATTATAATTCAAAAAGATATAAAATGAAAAATTCATCAATATCAGGGTTTATATCCTTTTCAAGTTGCATCCCCAATTAACAATTTGTCATTTTATATTTTAGATTATTGGGTTTAAAAGAAAATATGACAAATCGACAGATGGTACATAAGTTTTATAACATATCTCTTTTTATTTTACTGTTTCCGTAAAAATAAACCAAAAGTTATTATAAAACAAGAAAAGTCAGTCCAGTAACAAAAAAAACTGCTCACAAATCTCGAAAAATGCTATGTTACGTCATAATGTTAGTTTTCTCTCATTGTGTTTTATAGAGAATCAATAAAAACAGTGTACCTATTGTTATTAAATAGCTATAACATGATGACGTCACAACTGTAATGACCAAAAATTTTTTTGTATTAAATATTATAAAAAATAGTGTTAAAAAACATCAAAGAATTTTTTTTTCAAAAACCCAATTGCACAAAAGAGTTCCATTGTATTAGTTTTATTTCATCTATCAAATTTTAATGCCTGGTACAAACCAGCATAATCACACAAGCAAGGTATTAAAAAGTAAACATAAGGTTTCCTTTACTATATTAATAATAAGATGAGTTCCCAAACAACACAGACATGCATTTTATAACGGACTAAAAATTACTAAAAAGTTGCTTTATAATAATAATCAATAAATAAATATGTTCAATTACAAACGGATCAGGCTTTAAATGTAGTCTTATCAATATTACCAATGTTTTTATAACTTCAAAACAACAATTTGAAATTTCATCAAGATAAGATATGAAAACAATGTATATTAATTTATGTACATTTAGTATAAATATTAAATTACCTATGTTTAAACAAAATAATATTTATGTATTTGGATGTAAAAATATATCTTTAAAATATAATATACTAACCGTTGTACAAGTTGACCTCTTGTTTTATCCAAGGGTGTATCTCCGTCCTTGTTAGCGAGTGAGACCAGGGCTCCCGCTAGTACTAGGTCCTCAGCGATGGCACTGTAACCCCAGAAACATGCATAGTGCAGCGGAGAATTACCATGCTCATTGGTGAAGTTCACATCCACTCGGTTTTGGAGAAGCTGAAACAATACATTACTCATATATTGGTCAATTAAAAAATAATAATTATCAAAAAAGATATCTAAAAGAATATATAGTATAAACCAATAATGTAAGAAATAATTCAAAAGAAAGAAAAATTATACTTATATATAAAAAATTATACCTATATAGAAAAATTTGAAATTTTACTAACTGCCACTTTTTAAACAGATAAATAAATTACAAAGAAAAAATATTTAAAATGTAATGTTCTGTTTAAAGCATATTTTATCTAAATAATAACAATTACTGTTACATTAGCAAGACACAAAAATGATTTAAGGAATAGTAAAGCTTCTACAAATTATTCAGAAACAATTAATCATTGACTTTAATCCATAGAATCTTTAGCCAAATTAAATCTCAACAATTATATGTCTATCACATTGAACAAGGATCATTATAATAATATAATGAAATATGTTATAATATAATAATAATTTATTATAATATATATCATTATATTAAAATGATCCTTGTTCAATGTACTTAATGTAATATTTTGTGAAACTAATATTTTTCAGATTACTTGCATATTTAGTTATTAAAAAAAACTACATACTCCTGAAATTTTGGGTACTTTTATATTTTATATTATGATAGATGCTATATGTTTTATTTAATTCTTCTGTCCATGATATAACATCTCACCAGTTGTACAATAGGTCTGTGCCCATGTGCCGCGGACAAATGTAATGGTGTGTCGTCTCCCATATTAGTCACATTGATCCTAGCACCTCTCTTGATCAACATCTCCACAATCTTCAAATGGCCTTCCTTGCACGCCCAATGTAGAGGACTGAAGCCATGATCATCTCTGAAATTATCAATTATATAAGTATCTAACTAATATATAACATTTTAATTTAAAAATTACTATTTTGTTGTTAATATTGGAAGTCAGTGAATATTTAGAATGTAAACTTTAAAACTCTTTACTTCTTATAAACTAGTTCAAACTTCAATCTATGTATTTTCCCCAAATATAAACTAAAAGAAGAATTACAAATTAAGAATAAAATCTAATTCTCCTGGATGGATAAAAATGTTGAATATTTTATGTGACATCATATTCTTTATCTGCAAATTTATTAATTTACAGTAAATAAGTAATTGTTTTCTGTGAACATATTTTTGCTTTTTTCCTTATATTACACATTGTTACCTATTCCAGATGAATCTATGCTAACATATATTGCAACAAATTTTGAACAAGTTTTTATAATATTGTAATTCCTATTAGCATTAAAATATTTTTTACATGTATTACGATTTTTTTCATTCAAAACTTTTACATTTAATTGAAAATTTTGATAATTAATGTATATAAAATTATTGTCTGTTCTAGATAAATGTCATGTTATATCAATCTAATTCATCTATATAGAAAATTACATGAAATTGTTTTTGCTACGGAAATCACAATAGATACTAAAAGTGCAATAATATTTTGTTTTAATAGAAGTCTTTAATAACTATTTAACATGCCAAATGTACATGCTTACTATATGCACACATAAATTATAATACTTTAAGTTTACTTGAAGTCTTGAAATCCCAAAGAATTATGTTAAATAAAACCATGACTAATAACGTCTGTTTTGATCTCATTCTGACATAATTTCATAGGCCTTGGTTATTGTGGGCGATATACTTAGCACAGATGCCATTTATGGTAGAAGGGCTAACATATGGTTAACGTAAATATATTTGGAAGTACAAAATTGTAAATCTCACCCTTGATTCATATCATGTTCAGTATCATCTAACCAGACTCTAACTTGTAATGCATTTCCTTCTCTGCACCATTGAAATATATCTTCCATGATTTACGATTCCACCACTTTCAGATTACAACTTCAATAAAAGTATTAAAATACGTTTAATATACTTAACGAATCACGAATATCGTATAATAAAGCATTTAACAAAAGGTAAAAACAAAATAAAACAGAAATTAGGATAGAACTCGGTTCTTAGTAATTGACTTTGACAGTTTCGCAATCTCCAAAAATAAAGTATTATCCCACTGTTTTAAGATGAAGAGATGTGATGCTGGCTCTTTTTAACCAAATACGAAATGTATGTTGGTCTCGTTTTAACCAAAATAGTTCAGTGTTGTCATATAATTTATAAAAAATATTTTGTATAATGTTGCCAGTCTCATTATTAACATCCGTAAAACTACGTTGAATTATAAGATTTTATGGCAAATATATTTTATTTTAAAATTATGCAAGTTGTTAGACAGTTGTCGAAATTTATATGAAGTTGTATCGAATTTTAGATACAGGTTACATATCAGGAAATGAAAAACATTTTGAAAACTTAAGGCTAATCACAGCCGGAGAGCTGTTTAGGCGTAGTGCAATGCTCAAAACAGTTCTCAATATACTTAAATCTTTATTAATAAAGAAGTAACTTAAAACTATTTCTTTGCAAATGATATCTTCATAGCATGAGTGGGAGTGATCTTGAAGCCTTGTAGGGCTTCTTTGGCGGCCGCCGATTGCATTTCATTAGCAAACTCAACAAAGGCAATATCATGTCTGTTAGGCACCAGTCGAACTTCCTTAAAACCAGGGAACCTGAAATTCATTTCATCAGATTAATATTAAAATATTAATGAATTTAATTGAATAACTTGAACAAAATAAAGTATTTATTATATGGATATTAATGTGAACTCTACAATATACTTACTGGTTAAACAACATAGACAACATCATTTCCGATGTTTCATCAGGAAGATTAGTAAGGAATAGAATTTGGTTTGGTGGCTGTTCAGCATTAACATTGTTGAGAACACTCGGTTGACCAAATCCAGGCACATTTGGTCTATTGGGATCTTTGTTCTTTTTCTTCTTCTCATCAGACCCTTTTGGAAGTTTTGGTCTTTTAGGTCTTTCTTGGAAGGTGCCCTTCATCTTTGCTATTACATCACTATCAGTTTTGCAATACTGTATTCTCTATAATAAAAGACAAGTCGTTATATATTGAATATTGATTGTTTGGTTAAGAATATAATGTTTTTAATCAGTAGAGATGCTCTTAGTTCTTATTAAAGAATTAATGAGGACTTAAAATATTTAAAATTACATATTAATGGCAAAGTTAACTTATATACTTTTCTTTTATTTTCATACATTTTTAATAACAATGTTATATATTTCACACTGTCAATACTTTCAATGACCTAAATAAACAGTTTATTAAAATTATTTACCATGGGTTTGTCATAAAACGGGAATCCTTGCATACTCCTCAAGGCGACGGTTGCGCTGGATATTTCTTTGAATATAACAAATGCTTGTCCCCTCATCTTGAGGGTTTTCAGTGCAACGATTTCTAAAATCTGCCCAAATTGAGAGAATATAGCATAGAGGGACTTTTTAAGTTCCTCCTTCTTAATTTTCTCATTAAGATTGTTTATGTATATCGTGTGGTTCGGCCGTATGTCCATAGCTGAAATAGAAATGAGGTTATGGCAAATTTTATGATAACGCAAAATGTAGTTAGCGTATTCAATTTGAGCTATTACACGTGTTTATTTTAATTAAAATATCAATGTTCCCAAACAGTGTCAACTTTAAATTAATTAGTAGATGTTAAATACTTACTCATTTTCAGAGGATGCTATAATTATCAACTATTTACTATTCTGTATTCACGGTAGGATAGGTAGAAAGTACCTAGGTATATTGTAGTTTCTGTGTAAGAACGTCGTAAATAGTTAGAAACACCGCCTACAGCAATAACTTTATGTTGTAGTTTATTTTTGCCGAAAGTGCTTATCGCCGTATAGACTGAGTTTGGCGTCCACGAACTCTAAATGTTACCAGTTATAATAATTATAATAAAATTTAAAACATTTATGTAATAAAATGAATTTTGACTGAAAGTTCACGAAATAGAAAATATATTTGAAATTAAAAATTGTATATTTTCATATAATTAACTAAAGTTCTCTTAATAGTATTTCGATATGGTATCTTTCCTAAATTGTATTGACAATATAAGTTTTGACAATAAACCTTCATTTATAACATTGAATAATTGTGGTTTCGCGCGCTATTTTCATAAATAATTATACTAGATAAATAAAAGCAATCAAGCAACACATTTTGCTTTCTAATTAGTTTTCTGACCGATGAATAATTTTTAATTTATGTTTCATTGTTTCCACTTTCCTAAACCATAAAAATGCATAATTTTTGCCAAGATTTTGAAACTGTTACTCCTGAACTGTGGATGGCAAATGAGGAGGCATGGAAAGAAAAACTTTTAAAACTACCAAATTGGAATAAGGTAAAAGCATAATGAAATCCACCTATGATAATTTTGGCTTGTTATAAATCTTTATTAGATTTTCTGACCTCTGCTTAACCTTTTAGATTCCTTTGGTAAACTCAAATGCATCCCACAACTTATCAGATGGTAAGTTGGTCCGTTTCCGTGGAATGGTACAAGACATGCATAACACAGAATTCTATTTTGAGCATTTTGAAGTTTTTAATACAGTTACCAATGAGACAAAGATTAAAACAGGAAAATATACAGATACAGCACATATACAGGTAGGATTACAAATTACAAGAACCAATTACAGTTATTATTGAAACATAATTAACTTTAATACTCTTATTAGGAAAATGAGAGAATAAACTACACAGAAAATCTAAAGAGTGGACAACGTCAGACTATGGTGATAATATCACTCCCAGGATACAATGAATGGGCTCAAAAGCTTGAGGATGAGCAGAATCATCTAAAACATTTAGAGGATCAACCGAACACTTCAAGACGTTTAGAGCCCACAAAACTAAAGAGAACTTACGACGAGACAGAAGAAAGTTCAGACGTTATGGAAGTAGAAAATGAAGGCTCCAGTAAAGAAAGACGGACCAAAGAGGACTTAAATGAACCCTCTAATGTAGTTTCCAGGGAGCATCTACTTAATTTTCCTTTGCCTGATGTAGCGAGCAAATCTTGTATTGTGAAGGTGAGAATATGATTTGTTATAATTATAATAAAACTATATTTTTTTATGTTTCATATGTGAGTTAATGTGATAAAATAATAATATTAATTGTATCTACATTGCCATTAAATAATCAATATGTTCCGTTATTCTTTTCAAAGATATATTATGAAAACGACAATCTCAAGTTGAATGATATGATAGATACCATAAATTTTTTATGTTTTATACATGAGTTATAATATGATAAAATAATATTAATTGTATCTACATTGCCGTTAAAAAATCAATATGTTCTGTTATTCTCTTTAAAGATATATGATGAAAACGACAATCTCAAGTTGAATGACATGATAGAGGTAATCGGTTTCCTGTCTGTGGACCCAGCTTTGTCTGGAGAGTTCCAAGATAAGAATTCCTTGGAACCCGTGAGTGAAACCGAAGTTGAGATTATAACTCACAACCCTCCGCCTAGCTTAGTCCCGAGGCTGCACGCTGTGTTTGTGAAAAAGTTGGAACATTGCAACCCATTAGTTAAGGAAGTAGATCAAGGTATAACTTAAATGTTTCTCTAAATATATATCTATTAATATTAATGACTTTATTTCTGATTTGAATTATAAGTAAATACAAAATGATCAGTATGAGAATAGTTAATAACCAACTAGATCAGTTAAGGACTCTCAAAAATTAACTATTTGATTATTAATAATTATGTTAGAAAGAAATACATTTAAACAATTTCTGCTCATGAATTGAAAATAGGATTTTTCAGGACAAAATTCTGTGAATGAGTTTATTAAGCATTTCATTAATAATTTGTTTTAGTTATTTTGTTTATGAAGCAGTGACAAATATAATAACGCCTTTATAATATTAATATTATGTTTGATAATATTTTTCTCATTCCAGTGAAAATACTCAATGAAGCGAACATAGCTCGTGAACATTTACTGAAGGCTCTCACAGAACTGTTGCTGGGTGATCAGCTGGCCGCAGAATATCTTATTTGTCACTTGATATCAAGTGTGTAAGTATCAAATACAAGAGAGTTATGAAACAAAAATTTCAATGTATGTATTACTAACTAGTTTTCCGTGCGCAGCTTCGCCCGTGTGGAGTTCGGTTATATCGCGTTTCCAAGAGAACCTTTCAAAAGTCTGGATGAAAACTATCCTATGTTCTTTCTCAAAGTCAACTCTTATCTCTGTACCAAATTTCATTAAAATCAGTTCAGTGGTTTAGGCGTGAAAGCGTAACAGGCAGACTGACAGAGTTACTTTCGCATTTATTATATTAGTAGAGATGAGATCTAAGATTTTCGCGAATTTTATTAATTTAAACGAAAATAATATTTTTCGCATTATACTACGCGACTTTAGCAAAAAACTACATATTACCGACGTTTCGGCTACTTTACAGCAACCGTGATCACTTGCCGACGAGATGTGACATAATATTTTTTTAACAACATCCCGCCAATATATATATCCAACTTAAACTCAATTTATTTCTAAGAGATTTATAAAATAATTTTCTAAATTAATTTCCAGTTATCTCCGTCAAGACACTATAACCCTGGGTCAGTTCTGTCTAAACATTTCCAACTTGCCGACACAGAAATATCCAAATTATGCTAAACAATTATACGACATCATCCAACAGTTTGTCACTAAAAGCTACTACCTGCCGCTCACAGTGGATAACATGAACACTATGGCATTACTACCAAAGTTAGTAGAAGAATATTTATTTTACTTTCAATATTTCTCGAATAGAAAAATATGTTAAATATATGTATAAGTTCATATCTAATATACACTTGTTAATTTTAAGCTCATAAAACTATTTATTACTATATCAACTATATTACTTAAACTTTAACAAATTTTTGGGTTTTTATTCCATAAAGATGTAGTAACTTTCATTTTTCTGCTATTACACGAATTATTTAAAAAATAAATTCGATATTCTAAAATATGTATAAACACAAGGTTTATCAGTTGTATAAATATTACTAGATACTTGAATCTTGATACTAATCAACATAATTTTCTCTTTCTAAATAAAATATATGTATATTAATTATAGGAAAGATTACGAGTGTAACAGATTGACGAGTGGAATTCTTCAACTGAGTAAGGACACTCATTTGGTTCTCGATGAAACACAAATGCAACAAGGAAGGCTCGACGCGACAGGAGTCAACAACATAACGGCGCTCGGAAGTTTGATCAAAACACAGAAAGTTGAATATGACTTTAAATATTACAAGATGGAGTTTGATTCTGATATATCTGTGCTCATTCTCTCAGAAGGGAAGTCCTTACTGCCGGTGAGTTGTAGAAAATATTAAAACTGTTTTATAATCGTCCGCAATCTTGGATATGCCGCCATCTTGGATAAAGATTGACGTCACAAAATAAATTTATCTTCGAAAATACTAGCATTGACTCAATAACTTGTATAGGTTTTGTAAAATGAATTTGAACATTTAAGAGGCTAATTTTATACTGTTATTAATAATTCATGTTCAACAAAAGAGGTTTTATTATAATGTTTGAAGCTCCTAATATATTATTTCTATATATAAAATATGACTAAAATCCAAAGATTACAGATGTTATAATAAAAAATACAAGAAAATATTTGCAATAAAGTATTTTTTGCTTGTAGAGTGACTATCATGTATCACTCCGGCCTGAGAAGTCATCTTTGGAGATATTTGAAGCCATCATTGAAGCGGCCACTTACTACTTGAAGGAAGACATTATGACCACAATCAGGACTTATATAACCAACTTGAAGCTCGTCAAGTATTCCATAAGCGAGGATTTACAGGTATCTTATTTTTATTATCTACTAACTGCGCCCTGCGATGTTACACGCGGATTTCCGGGATGTAAAGTAGCCTATATATTATTCCTGGATGTTAGCTTCCTGTATACAAAATTTTATCAAAATCAGTTCAGCCGTTTAAGCGTGAAGAAGTAACAAACATACACACCCACTCAAAAACTTTCGCAATTATAATATTAGTAGGATATTGAATTGGTATTCTAGTATAATACTTAAGTATGAAAATTTCGTTAAACTTATCCCAATAACTGATCTCACAACATCAAATTATTTCATAAACAATAAGTCCTACTAATGCAATATATATGGAAGTTTCTGAGCATATGTTTCATGCACTTTCACCTGAAATATACTGAATGGAATTTGATTGAACTTTCAAATAATATATCAGACATTAAAATAACATTCCCGTAAGATTGCATATGAAGTTATTATAGACCAGTGCAAATAGCTTTTAAAACATAATTAAATTATAGTAGAATGAAACTCATTAGAAAAGGAGGGGAAGATTATAAAAATTAAAGGAAAATAATTTTGCGGGCGATCGGAGGTCGGGAAGGGTATGGGAGTGGGTATTTAAGGGTAAAAAATGGGTTTACTATAAATTTATATAAATCTTTAAATAAATTAGAAAGAGCATTTTCAAAACGAGGTCGAGTGTCATTTCATTAAAAAAAACATGACTATTTTATCCAAAAATGTTACTGCAAGGAAAAAACTTATATTTTTTTCTTCACCATCGGAAAATAGAGGTTTCAACAAATTGAAAACATACCAAACTTTTGAAAATATCTGATATTTTGACGGGTGATTTTTAGGTATTTATTCAAAATACGCTGAAAAATAAATATTTCTAATCAAATAAATTACAGTGTATTTTTAACATCAAAAGGAAAGTTTTCACCAAATTTCGTGACAAAATATTTTTTTTTTTGTAAGAGATAAAAATAAAAATCCAAAAACTTGGTTTTTCGAATTTTTCACATAAATTTTGAGGTTATGTGAAAAAAAATGTTAGTACAAAAGTTTTAGATCTTTTTATTACCTACAATTTTGCCATATAACATTTTTCCCTTTCCGACCTCCGATCGCCCGTAAATTATTTTTCCGTTAATTTTTATAATATTCCCCTCCTTTTCTAATGAGTTTCATTCTACTATAATTTATTTTCACTTTTCATTAATTTTAAAGGTGACAAAGACAATAGGGGTCGCTTACAGTTGCCTGATACACACGTTATAAATTTCTCTTTAAAATAAACTAAACAATAAACATATATAAAGTTTATAAGTGATATATAATATATATGTTTAAAATGATTACAGTTCGTCGAAGACGATTTCATAGAGATGAGAAACGATAGTGAAGAACCGGTTACAGCTGATGATCTGCACCGTCTGCTTGTACTGGCGAGGTTAGTGAGTCTCTCGCGAGGACACGACGCACTTACTGAGGAATGTTGGAGAATCACCAAGGATATGGAGAAGAATCGGCTATCACGACTGAAGAATAAACCACCCACACTCTAACGTACATATTAGTATATGAAGGACCTAAATTGTAGCTACTATAAGGTTTCTTAATCATAGATGTCGCGATTATAAGCTAATAATTTTAGCCTGGATTCATTTTTGTTTTGTGAGACCATTGAAGTGGCAACCTTGGTATTGCCTCTAGGCTGAATTCGGAAGCGTCATTGCGTAATTTATATTTTGTGATAGATTTTTTTAAATAAAATTAGGGTTTTCTATTTAATTTTACGTGGTTTTATTTCAATGAACACCAGTTTTTTTAAGGTTGATTTATTTTTGTTGTGTTGAATATGTATGCTAACTGAGTGAATATGATATCGAAAAATTATTTTTTATGTATTGTGTCGTTATGCGCTTTCAAAACAAAGACATGTTTTAAAAAAATATGTAATTCTCTTCTGTCCTGAAACTTACTTCGTATTAAACAGCAAAAATTTAAGTTAAAAATAAATAGAAAATTAAACGATTCTCCCTTAACAAAGAGTCTGAAAATCCTCACTGAAACAGGATAAGTATATTTTTATACCAATTAGCCTTTCTGTTTCACATACACTGTGGTCATGAAATGTAATATACTTATTTTAATTTAGTATTCAGTACTTTGTGATTACATAATGAATATCTAATTTTGATTAATTTATTATGTACGAAACATCTTAATGAAAACCAAAATATTTCTATATAGATAATTTTCAGAAATAAAGGAAATAGTACCTAATAGTATCTACAAAAAAATAAGAGATAGATACATAATTATAAAGCATTTAGAATATTGTGTTTAGTAATTTATCACTAAGGACCTAAAATTAAATAATACCTATAACGAATATCTTATAAAACTGAATATAAAGGATTACAAATAAATATTTTATATAAATTTGGAGAATATTTATTTATAATTTTATTAGATTAAAATAAATCATTCCATTTTTAATACTATTTAACGATATCAAGAGTTGTAATCGATTACTTAAGATTATGATTAGTATTCTATATTATCTGTTCAATATTCAGACTTCACTGACTTGTTGACAGTGACGTGTAAGATTCTACAATATTCGGCTAATGGTTGTTTATTGATTGCAGTATTAAATGAATTATTATTAAATCAAGACAGAAACATAAGTTTTAATTATGACGACTAAAAACAGATCACTCGATGGTTCTAATAAAACTAAATCAAACGAGTCGATTTGGAAGAAAGCGTTAAGCTCAGACACTGAATGGCCCGACAAGGTTAGTTAAAATGTTATCACGAGATCGCTTTAATTTAATCAGTTAACTGTGAAATTAAATATTTTATTTTGTAGGACGAATTCTTGGATGTTATCTATTGGATGCGACAAGCGTTAGGCATAGTTTTAGGTCTGTGCTGGGGTATTCTGCCTTTGAAAGGACTTTTCGGTTTATTGCTGTAAGATTATAATTTATTTAAATATTACTCTATGATTTCAATTATTCATGCAGTGGTGACACTTTAATTAATATATTAAATGTTCTTTTAGCTTTGTGGTCTTGAATGCTGCGGTAATCTACATCTATGTCAGCAATTTCCATAATGTTGATGAAGAAGAATTTGGAGGCATGTGGGAAATAACTAAAGAGGGCTTTATGACCTCGTTTGCTGGCTTCCTGGTAAATATTTTCTTTCACTTATCAACATTTATTATATTAACTTTGAAATATAACTGAAATTTAATGTGAAAGATTTAAATGATGTTAGATTTTGTTTTTAAGTTATTAAATAAATTGTTATGGTATATATGTATCTTTTGAACAATAATTTCAAATTCTTTAATTTCCAGGTGACCTGGACAATAATGTATACCGGTTTACATGGGAGTAGCAGCTTATGAAATAAAATGTTTGCAGCGGAACAATATAATTGAGATATTTACAGAGTTTAGTACAAAAACATAGATGTACTCTAATATTGAAGATGTTCAATTGTACTATATCAGAAATATGCAATAATATAAAAATATTTATAATAATACACATTGGTTAATTTATAAATAATATAATTTTAGTTCACTTTTGTAACTTTGATTAAAAAATAATAAGGCAGTTAGGAATTGTTAGAATGTTTGAATGTCAATGTTTTTATTATAAGATCATTTGGAGTGTAAACAATAACTTATTTTAGTTTTTGTGGTATTGTAAAGGTTGTGTTTGTTTATTTAAACCGACATATTTATTTTTTCCTATTCAATGAACACAATATCTCCATATAATTATTATGTACTATACATTTTAAGTGAATAATTATTTGTTAAGTTTTACAATATCTAAATATGGGATATGTACATTTTATTTCATCACTTTACCTGTACCTCTGGTGTGAGTGGACCCTGTACTTGTGAGTTTATTTTGAACAAATATTATAATGGTTGTTTTATTATGAAGAATATTTTATTTTATATTACAGAAAACCTTATTAATTGATTAATTCATTATAGGAACTATCTATCTAGTTTAAGGTAACTTAATTTTGGCACACCACTAATTATTGGCACTTCTGTGATTGAATTGTGTTTATAAGAAAACTACTAATCTCACAGTGTTGCAACTTATTTAAGTAGTGTAGTAGAATCCTGAGCTATCGTATTGGGAGCACATAATTAAAAAATAATTTACAATGGCGTCGGAAACAGCGGAGCGTGTCTGGATTTAATTAGTGAAAACTATTTTTTTGCTAAGGTAAGAGCTTTTGTAATATCATGAAAAACTTTAACACATATTATTCTACCTTTTTTGTCAATTTGTTTCCGAGATTTTTGTCGTGTCTATTATTTTAACCAGGTGCCAACAATTGGTATTAAAAAATTACCAAATTCTAATTTATTGGCACTAATGCCAATAAATGGTTTCTTGAACTTAGGTTTTCAGATGTTAATTTATGTTACCTATTATTCAAGGAACACCTCATTTTGCATCATTAATGAATACATGTATAAAAACGCATTATTCCAAATCTTGGCACCGGTGCCAACTGCAAAAGTACCAATTATGACCACTACCGCCAATATTTGGGCATAATTGTGCTAATAATTGGTCTTCTTACGTATGTTATTGTTTTATTTTCAGTGTACCCGACTTTTTTAACCATGAAACCAATAATTGACAAGCAACTGACAAGTCAAGAAAAAAATCGGAACCAAAAATACGCCGACGTAAAATATACAACACGGAAAACTTAAATAAAGCTTTGCAAGCTGTTTAAGATGGTATGGGCAAGAAATTGGCAGCAAAAACATATCGAGTGCCGAGGGCTACACTGCAATATAGGATCAAGAACACTGAACACCAGTCACGTCTAGGTCCTCCAACCATTTTGACGGAAAACGAAGAAAAAGACCTCGAAACCTGAATTTTACTGAGTTGCCGAAAAGGTTTCCCAAAACGCAAAGATGACGTTATCAGTAGTGTAGCTAACTTTCTGAAAAATAGTAATAGGGCCAGCGTTTTTAAGAATAGCGAAAAATGGTATAAATTGTTTCTTCAACGACATCCAAACATTTCTGTACGTATACCTGAGGCAGTCACTGCTGCAAGTGCCGCTGTGTCAGAAAACGACTGATTCCATCAAATTGAAGCTTAAGGAAATCGATTTATTAGAGGTGCTTTTGGATTCATCCCGTGTATTTAACGGCGATGAAATAAATTATCTTCTTTGTCCGAAGACAGGAGTTGTATTAGCTCCTAAAGGCGAAAAAAACGTCTACGAGGTAGACAATGCCTTGGGTAAAATTTCTTTGACAGTAATGTTCACAATTTCCGCTAATAAAGATCTCACCTCCAATGATTATATTTCCCAATAAACGATTATCGGCTGAAATTACTTCCAAAGTTCCATCTGACTGGGGCATAGGACTAAGTGACACATGTGGATGAAGGCCGATGTGTTTCACGATTACATTCAAAGTATACTATTCCCGCACTTAGTTAAAAAAGGAACCAATTTCCCCGTAATACTGTTTGTCGATGGTCACAAGACCCATTTAACATATGCCGTTAGTGAGCTTTGCAAAAAGTTGGAAATTGTCTTGATTGCTTTGTACCCCAATTGTACCAGATTACTACAGCCAGCTGGTGTGTCAGCATTCAAGCCTTTAAAATCTGGGTGGCAGAAAATTGTCCTGGAGTGGAGCCGAAATAATCTTTCGGTAGCTCTCACCAAGATGAATTTTGTGCCCCTCCTAGATAAAACCATCAAGAACGATCACGGCATCGAGAGTTATTAATGGATTTAGAGCTACAGGCCTCGGGCCGTGGAATGTGAACGCAGTGGACTATACGAAATGTCTTGGCAAAGCTAATCTTCAGCATGTAGGAACTTCTAACGAAGTTAGCAAAAAAAATTCAAAAGTGATGACCCCAGTGGACTGTGAGAACATTATAGGAAACGGCAAATTAAATCCAATAGAACAAGATGTATTAGGACCAGAAGAAAAATATTTGAAAGATATTTGGAACTTTTTCATGGAAAAGCAAACAGTTACTGATACAGTTAGTAAAAGCAGAGACTTGAGAGAAGAGCTATCTGATGGCGTCCCTGTACCTGCCTTAGACGTAACTGTAGCAACAGAAGATTATGATGCCAATGAACAAGGATCACAGGAAGTTTAGCATTTAACTTCTAAACCAGAAGTGTATGATGCTAAAACTGATAATAGCAGAATTCTAACTCTGCCCCAACAAAGAGAATGCCTTAGGAATACTGTCTTCCACCACCGAAGTTTAGATTTAGACAAAATAAAGACTTATATAAATCCAGCTCGTGTAAGGGTTCAAAAACATACCTCTACAATGTTAAATCTTACTCCCATTAAATTAACGGATATCCTCGTATTGCCCAAATCACCTCAACGAAAAAGTGTGAGAAATATAAAGAGAGCTCAATTTGTTTTAACACCTGATGAGTGGAGTTCTATAGAGAGCGAATAATTACGCGTAAAACAAGAAAAAGAAGGCATAAAAAAAGGAAAGAAGAAAGGGAAGAAATGAAATTAGAAGCAAAAAGTAAACCGACGAAACCAAAGATTCATAAGCCTAAAATAAAAATTGAGAAAACGGTACAGATTTCGCCAATTTGACATCTGAAAATAGTGGTGGTTAAAGACATTTAATTCTCAAAAGAAATTACATTTCACTTAATGAGAAAACAAAACAAAATATTACTTACTAATTCAGTTGTGAGCGTTTTAAAGATAATATTTTATACATGAAAGCTGATATAGAGAAGTTCTTGATTGATTTTGAAGATTAAGTACCTATTTTTTATTATAACATTAATTTAGAAATAACTATCCAGTTCCTACTTGATCTCTTAAGTTTAAGATATTTCCTGGTGATAAGATTTAAATGTCGTTACAACCTTATTGTTGTCTATCCTAAAATTTTTACTAAATGTTGATTTGGATACTATTTTATTATAAACCAAATGATTGCTAAAGAAAGCTATGTGTCTAAGTCATATGTAGATATAAATGATTACTTATTTTTTAGCTTTGTTGCAATTCATCCTTGTTATCTATATACAATTTTCCTATATATAAAAAAGAAACTCATATACAAATAAATGGGACAAGGCCTATGCGTATAATTCAAAGTATGCCAGTATTTGGAAAAACGGTGTTATTTTTTTTAAATGAATAAAAACGTTATTAAACACGTATCTGGCAGACTGTGCATTTATTTAAAGATATTCAATAACTATTTTTCTACCATATACATATATTTATTTTTCTGGCAACACTTCATAAAGATAATTTAAACTATTTTCTTGAACAGGGATCCTTAAAGTGCCAATAATTGGGTATCTTACCCTATGTATGAATTAAAGTTATGTTGTCGATGACAAACAATACTTGAATGTTTAAAGTCATTAAAATGACGACTATATCATATTCACAAACCATTTAATGTTCATTAATAAACCGTTATACTTAATAATAATTAATCATCTCTCCAAGTCACTAATACATCATCGGTTCTATATCTCTGTGTTATTGTGGTATCTTTGAACTCCATCCTTGCTCCGCTGTTGAATGCGAGTGACCCAGCGTAAGCTATCATCACACCGTTGTCGATACAAAATCTTTCATCCGTAGCAAATATTTTCGCTCCTCTTTCCTTACACATGATTTCCATCATATCTTGAAGCCGTTCATTGCATCCCACTCCACCGACAAGAAGAACCTGATTTAAGAAACATTAATGAGATCTAAGATTATCGCGAATCTTATTCATTTAAATGAAACTAATATTTTTCGGATTATACTACGCGACTTGTAGTCATGTCGTCTGCCCGTGATCATGGTTGCTGAAAAATAGCCGAAACGTCGGGAGTATGTAGTTTTTTATCAAAAATAAAGTCGCGTAGTACCTCCGAAAAATATTAGTTTAATTTAGAAGAAACATTAATTTGATATTTATACACAGATAAATTATATATTATTAAAAAAAAATCCAATATTTATTCATGTGTTTAACTTATTAAACCATTTTATACATTTTATCTATGTTTATAAATAGCTTTCATTATACAAAACAAACAAGTTAATGTATCTTATATAAGAAAAGTTAGTTGTAATTTCTTTTTAGTGCTTTCTGAATAAACAAATAATTGTGAATAAAAACTTAATTAACCAAAACTGGTGTATATTCAAAGTAATAAATAGATCACCTCTTCAGATCCACAGTGAGCCATGGCCCTCTCAGTTATTTCCACCAACATTGCAAACACAGTTTCTTGTAATGAATAGCAAAGGTCTTCTGGTGTGTATTCTTTTAATAAATCATCAATTTTATCCTCCATGTATGACAATATACCAGAGAAACTAACATCCATACCTTTAATTCAAGAAATTACTTGACTTAAAGTAGATATAATAAATATATAGTAGTTAGTATATAAAATAAATATCTCAATTGTATAATTTTTCATACCTTTCACACAGTATGGTAGGTGTAAGTATTTCTTTCCTTTCTTTGCTAGTTGTTCAATATTGTATCCGGGGCTCGGAGCATTTGATAGTTTCAATACTCTAGCAAACCTAAGGTGCAAAATCATTATTTTAATTTTTGTTCTCAAGAACAACAGACAAAAAATTAAAGTTTCAATATAATGTATATTATATTAATTATTGTTATTTGAATTTTATGTTTCCAATAGACAGATTATAATTTTTTTTCTTATTTCCAAATTGTCCTAGGTTGCAATTGCTAGGAATTGAAAGTAAAATATTCTTTAACTAGTTTTATCATGGCATAAATATAAAACTCATATTAGTTATATATTATGTTGTAATTTTGTCTTTTTCACAGACATTTACAGTACTTACCGATCTAAGCAATTTCCAACGGCTATATCAATAGTTTCACCAAATATCCTGTACCTCTGTCTTGAGTATGCTATGATTTGCGTGTTGCCTCCACTCACATATAAAACAGCAGGGTTATGTGCTTTTGTTATTAGACGACCCATTTCTATATCTTATTTATAATAAGAAAATAATTGTATAGTGATTATTACCTTCATTCTTAAATGAAACTTACCTATAAAAACCACTACAAATTAATTTATTATGGCATACAGAATATCAGGCAAGTACAAATAAAAAAAAAGTTGTACATCTCATTTAGGCTGTATTAAATTTTTCTACATTTAAAGAAATGTTTTCCTTACTTTACAGTAACTGTGATCACACAAAATAGATCCGAATAACAGATTTATTTATAGTAATTCATATTATTAGATTTATAAGTAAAAGGATACGGCCAATACAATGATTAACTCCAAGAATGGGTTTCTTCCATAGTTTAGCACATGTTCTTGCAACTACAGCACATACCATCAATGGCGCCCCCATGCCTGGACCCTTTGTGTAACAGACCACATCAATATCATTCGGAGTTATTCCAGAAGCTTCCAAAGCTTCTTTCAGTACTGCATGAATATTTTCCTGGTGATGTTCAGCTGTTTCTCTTGGAAGAAATCCTGCAATTAGGTTGTGAAGTAGAAATAAGTAATGAAAAAACAATATTAAGTGCAGTACATATCGAAAGTTTAAGTTTATAAATTTTAACTATTCTATTCACGAATTCAAATACGATAGCGATATTTTCGCGCTCTTGATGAATAACCAAGTACATTTGTTATATATAAATATTTTTTAAAGGAATTCTTGAGTTAAAAGTTTCGTTGATGGAATTGTTCAAATTTTAATATCCTTTAATTAATTGGATTAAATATTTCGTAGTTATAACAAAATTTCACCTTCTCCAGGCGGTGTAATGTACGTTCGTCTCACGTTGGCAAGTATTTCGCTATCTCTTACTATCCCTATTCCCAATTTATTGGCACTGCCTTCAAACCCTATAGCTATTACCATATTTAAATATGTAAGTGTAGAAAAATGTAATATAAGTTAATGTATTTCACAATGTAATAACCATCCGTCCACACTCTCCGTTTCTGTTTTCAAAACATTGGAGAAAAATTGACACGTTTGTCAAATCGGAAGTTTTAGATAAATTATTTCTCATTAAATTAAAATAGAATTTTAAACTTATTAAGAGTTTCTAAAATATTATTTTAAAAACACGTCCATAACAATATTATAATAAATATTGAAAATAATATTGGTTCTTTTTTTTTGTGATAAGACCTAATAAGTTTGTAGTTTGTCCTAGTAACGATAAAAAATCAAAATCTACAGAAAAGTCTACAATAGTTATATATTTTAAAATTTAAATGTAATGGAATATTAAATGAATGTTTACATCTGAAACCTACGTGACTTGTCACACAAAATCAAATACTTGACAATCTTGCAACACGAGTCTGTGACTGAAGGATAGATATAATTATCGTACTTTCATACTTTGTAATCTGTATTTGGTGTCGTATCAGTTTAATTCATAATATTTCATATTTTTCAAGAAAATTCTAAATAGATTCATCACTTATAAACATCTGCTTATGTAATTTATCAATATAATAATATAAATAGGACCATGGCGTTAACAGTTGACAAACTTACTAATGATGAAAGGTATTAAAAAGTATTTTGATGGATTTAGAGAAAGTGACTAGTGTGCAAAGTTGTTTTTCAACAATATTTTTATATGTTTCCAGGTTTAGCGGTGACAATGTTCTTCAATTTTTATTATATTTGCCACTCGGTCTGATGCTTATGTGCATTAGAATAGTTTTGGCACTAGTACTATGGATTGCATCGATTATAATGCACGATAAACCAGGGGCTAGACATGTTCTATCTACTCTGGCTTGTTGGACTTTTGGTTAGTGAAAATTCATAGACTTAACAATTATATACATGCTCTTCAATTGTTCAATTATTTACAACTTAAATGAGACAGAATGTGTTAAAAAAAATAATTGGTAATATATATATTAATTTAATTTTAGGTGTTTATGTAAAAGTGAAAGGAGTGAGGGATCAGCGCTGTAGTATTCTGGTATCAAACTATGTATCCTGTATGGATTCATTGGCGGCAACACACAAGCTTGGATCAATAAGTGTTAGTATTACTATTAAATATAAATCATGTTTATTAGTTTACAACATGTTATAATATTGTTTTTTTAGGCAATTTTTATGTTAAAAATCTATAAATAGTTTTAAATGAAATTTTTAACCTTCTGTACAGCCTTGTAAAGCCAATAATGAACCATGACCTACACAAATGTCAAGCCGATTGTTACAAAAACATACTATTAAAAATAAATTAGTAATAATGTTTTCAGCTCCGAAAATGGAAGGTGCCTCCATTTTTTGCATCTGCTTTGGGAATTAAAAGTGCTTCACAATTTGTCAGGAAGTAAGTGGTCAAGTTATAAGATTTTAGATTGTAAGTAAATAAAGTGTATTGTCGGGGATAGTGCAAATCCACAAAAGTAACTTTCTTCTGATAGTCAGCTTCCAATGTAGATATGTGGAATTATTCAATGGTAGTTATGCGGATTTGCACTATCCCTGACAACATGTAAATACAATATTTAATATGGGATCATATATCCATATTTAATTTGTCCCTCAGCTATATTCATAAAAGGATTGTTGTTGTATGTCTTACTTGTAGGCAGCATTTCAGTGAAACTCCAAGCAAACCAGTTCTGCTTCAACCAGAAGGAGGGCCGACTAATAGCAAAGGCCTGTTGAAGTTCACCGACTGGCCGTTCCCTATTGGCAATAAAGTGCAACCTGTTGCCATTAGTAAGTACATCCTTTACTTTAAAAATATTATAACAAGTTTAACTTTTTATAGTACAGAAGACATAAATATAAAACCTTTTTTGGGATTTACTACCCTTTTTCTGTTCTACATTTGACCTAATTTAAACTTTTTTGTATTTATTATGTTCACAACCAGAAAAGATGATATGTTTTTTTATTTCTCTCTGAAGTAGATTCAAATATTTGAACTTTAAAACTTTCTTTAATTCAAACTATTACATAGTAAAAATTTCATTATGTTGTTAATGTGTTTTCACTGCCAAATGTTTAGAAAATTGATGATTTAGATTTTAGAACTAATTAAGCATTACTGCAACCTGAGTTAAAATTATATAATGGTTCATAGTTTCCACATTCAACCAAGATAGAATATTTTAGTAGTTTATAATTATCATTCAGGTGTGGAACGACCCTTCACTAATGTAACAGTTCACCGAGCTTTAGACAAGACTGCTGTGTTCCCGTGGAGGGATGCACTATGGTTCCTTATGACCCCATGTTCGGTATACACCATTCATTTACTCCCAAGTTTGGAGAGAAACGACGATGCATTTGTGGATAACATCAGGACGGCCATCGCTGAAGCTTTAAAGGTGATTTTGTTCAGTTAATATTTGACTAGACTTTCAATTATTGTAAAGCTTCAACAAGTTATATATTGTCATTTGTATATTGTTAGCCCGTCATATAAAAAGAGACAGTACAATTAAAATTACTTAATATATAACTGATGCAATAAAACTTTAATAGTAATATATTTTATTTATAATATTCAGATAGAGACAACAGAGTATACTTGGCAGCAGCTCTGTGCTCGTAGAGGTCGCGTGACACGTGTGACGTCACGTCCGCCTCCTGAAGCAGCCCGGGTTAAGGAAGTACTGCCAGCGGTGCCTCTTAGAGATATTATCAGGGAACTTGGTAAGACATATTATATATGATTAGTTTTCAAACGCGATCTTTTTATGTTAATGAGTAATATGTATCTCATACAAGAGATATGTTAATCAATTGTTAGCGACATCTATCGTCTTGTGACAACATGTAACGTACAATGTTTTCCCTTCTTTCGTTGGGTAAATTATACCCTAAGTGTAATTCTCCTGTCTAAACTACATTGTTGGAAAGTTTTGTAAAAAAATGAATGAGCAATGAACATGGTCACAAAATTTAGTACTCATAATATTAGTAGAATGAGTCCAGCCATTAATGTTATACAGCATTATAAAGTATTTATCATTAATATTTAATGATTTAGGTATTTACCGATGACGTAATTTTTTGTATAGGCTTATTACGAGCAGGAAAATCAATTTGATTATTCAATTATTTTATTCCAGATTCATGTCAACTAAATTTTTTAAATATTTGAACATTCTGCTAATAAGTTATTTATTTTGCAGAAAAAACCAGAAGTGTGGATGTAACGATCACAAACTTCCTAGAAGGGCTTGTCCCTTATACTCCTGAACCAGAACCTGTTGTAGAACCTCAGCCGAGCACTTCACAAGCACCACCCAAGTATATAACACCGGCACCTACAGGAGTGTTTCCAAAGTCAGCAAAAGAAAGACAAATGAGTTTCCAAGAAAGGAAAGCCCAGATGATAGCAGAGGCTAGGAACAGATATATAGAGAAACACGGCTTGAACATTGCTATGAACTGTTGATACTTCAGACATTAACCCTCGGACAAACTGATTTGTGATGTACAAAGGTGCAGTGTTTTTATTTGTCAAATGATATATTAGTGAAATGTTTCTTTTTTGCAATGTTTTTTAATAAATGTATGAAAAATATATTTTTATAGCGGTCACATTAAGTAAACGGATTTTAACATTTATCTGTGTCATGAATCATTACGATTGTGTGTAGATGTGTATTTTATTGTGAAATGTTATTTTTGCTAATACATACTTGTGGTACTAATTTCCAAATCGTTAACTTAGTCTAAGATGTCATGAACCCACTTTATTCTTGAACCACATAAGTAATTTCTTATCAGTAATTAGTTTATTTAGATATCCTTTTAGTTTATAAACATGTAATAGTTATATTAATCTACATCCTTATTATATATTGTTTAATGAGCCCAGTGTATCTTTGTATCGATTGAATTGGGCTTTGCAGAGATTTTTGTTTAGTGTTAAACATATTTTCTTTAGTCATTAGATCTCATTTGTAGCAAATTTAATTAAATATCAAGCTCATACAAAGGACACGGCTAAAATAAAATAGCCACAGCTAAATGTAACTGAAAATTACTTGAAAGTAAATAAGTGTAGTGTGATTGAATGTTTGTGGATAATTCAAATGAAAAGCCAAAATTGTAGAATAGAACTGTATAACAATGTGTCCGTACTTACAAAAGGTATACGGGCCATGTGTATTAAAGATAAAAGATATTATTCCATTCGGTGACCAAACCTGTATTGTTTAGCTCCTTGCATCTCCTGCCTTCGGCTTCCACACTAGTTTAGATTAAAATTAAATATATTAAATAAAATATTTGTTTCCAAAAATATATATTTTATTTTTTACATTCCATCATGGGAACAAGAACAGTTAATTATAAAAAAAATGTCTTAATGATTATTTAATCTTAAAATACTTCATCATTGTTTACAAGTTTGAAACTTATTGATTTGTCAGTAATAAAATGCCATTAATATTACACAATCAGTTTACTCTTAACTCTTGCTACGGGTTCATCAAACTACTAAGGGGTCGGTTTCTGATTTACAATTAATAAATTGCACATGATAGTAGTATCAACGTAGGATTATGAACGAAGAACTGAAAATTCTGTGTATTCCTTAGTGAAGAAATTTATAAAAAATACTGTATCTTTTGAAAAACAAATATGATAGTCATTTAAATTTATAAACAACAAATATGAAAATTTACCTTGGGTAAATGAGGCAATTGAAAATATTTTTCGATTTAAGAACAGTGTTTGTTATTTTAATTATCAGTAAGGAGTTATAGTATATTTATATGAGGAGAAGACAATCACAAGATGATCAAGTTTAATAATGTGGGCTGCTATTTTGATCGAGTCACGTAGCAATGTCTATTATATGTTGTTCCGGTATTGTCTTATGAATACAATATATCTACAAGCCGAGCGTATGCGGCGTCCGTCGCGGCGTGTTCAGCCCGGGCGTGGCCACTTCCTGTTTGACCGGAACTTCTTGATCTCTCTTCTTCTTTTCTTCTGCCATCTTCTGTTCAGCCATTTTCATCTCTTCTTCCATCCTCTGTAGATGTACTGCAGCCTCCTTGCGTTTATCGCGATTTGATCTTGGAAGATTAAAATTATAATAAGGATTAAAATTTTGAAAGAAACAAATTTTATGCTAATTTTAGTTGTCCGAGATGTCTATTAAGTTTGGACTAATACAAAGTGTTTCTATGAGGTACTCGCTTGCTAGCTGCCTTAACCAAGGAGAATATAGGTCCTAACTCAGAATTTTGCTTTTGGACTATAGTTTGGGTCGTATAAAGCGTTTTTTAGATACTCACTTGCCAGTTTCCTTAACGGAGAAGAACATAGGTCCCAATTCAGCGAGCCAGCGTCCATCTACAGCTGTGACGCAGTGCATGTACTCGCGGGAAGTCATCATTAGTTCGTGGTACACCACGTAGTCGGGCGCGCTGCCCGCTCCGAACAGAGCGCTTGTGGGGTGTAAATGACACGGCATGCCTGTGCGGCAGTTCACGTATTCGCCGATACCTTTCAGCCGGGCCGCTTGTTGGAAGTACGCTGTATAGATGGAAGGTTTAATATTAAGTGTCGAGATAGTAGAGCCTAGAGGTATTGGAATAGAAAATGTATAACAGATACGCGTTCGAGTGTAAGCACGATGGATTAATTGAGAAAGCAATTGGAACGCGGTATTTTGAAGGTCGCAGATTAAAGTCAATTTTTAAATATTGTTTTTTGATAAGTTTTAATCGAAATATATCTTTAACTTATCTGACATACATTAACCTGCCCTCTCTCACCCAAATCAAAGTTACGATATGATTAGTCATGTCCATGTATATAAAGGGTGTTGTTCCTAACCTGAGCATATACACTTCCTGACAGTGTCCCAGTCGGTGCCGCACGACACCAGCGGCAGTCTCTGCTGCGTGAGGATGTCCCGTAGCTGCTGGCGGACCTCGCGGACCTTCCGCATCGCCTTGGCGTGGACGAAATGTTCCGTACACCACGCGCTAGAATAACTACGGAGAGGGGGGGGGGATATTGAATGTATTATCACTAATAGTACTAGTTTATTTCTTTATTGCTTTTTTTATCACGGCTTTTTGAATGATAAACTCAAACTCAAATAACTTTATTTAATATAGAAGCATTACACTTTCTTATTGATGGTCACTTGAGACACTACCACCGGTTCGGAAAAGAAAATACCCTGACCTGAGAAGAACCGGCGAAAGATATCCTCGATTTACCATAATAAAGAATTGTAATTTAATTCCAGAACTTTATAACAGTTTAAATTGAATGTTATATTGTCAGGACTGTATGTTAAAGTGTATAGTTACTTGTTTGATTTCCACATGTTGTATAGATGTAGTAGTGTGAGGTGATCAGACTCTGCCACTTGGAACTTCTCCTTGGCGGTGTCCGCGTCCTCCTCGCGCCCCTGGGGCCGGTAGAACACGGACGGAACAGACAACATCGACACTGAACACACACAAACATATCATACATATAGGAAAAACACTTTAATTTTAAATAAAACTATCAAATTCCCGAACAATAACATATGTTAACAATAAGACATTTGATTTGTTCTCTTTTGCGACTGCGCCGCGGGAAAGTAGTTGTCAAAATTGAATTTATGTTGTCTGTGTTATTCGTTCTATTATTATGTAAGTACATTAATTTTCATTAAATAAATAATTGGTGATTTCTTTTATTTTATTAATAATAAATAGTTAAGATTCTTTAAGATAAGTCTGGTCTAATTAAGGTTAGTTTCGTCATTTTAAGGAAACGGCTTAATATACCTATAAGTTATAACATGTTTTATGTGTTACTACACAATATAAGAAATGATTTTACCTTGAATCTTATTATTAGTAAGTTGGTGAATTTCGTTATTAATAAAATTATTTGATTATATTTTCAAATGGAAAAGATTTTTTTTAACATTATTATTTATTTTACATAATATAAAATACTTTCGGATTACTACTGTTATTTTATCATTTTAAAAAATTACATACTCCCGACGTCTTATTTAAAAAAAATTACAGACATTCACATCTCGCCTGCCCGTGATCACGATTGCTACAAAGTAACCAGAACCGAAAGTAATCCGAAAATATTAGTTTCATTTAAATGAATACACGCAAAAGTTTCAGATCTCATTATATAAACCACTACAGTCTGGTAGTAAACAATATTCATTATAATCTACTAGCTTTCCGCCCGCAGCTGCCCGCGTGGAGTTCGGTTATATCGCGTTTCCAAGAGAACCTTTCAAAAGTCTGGGATAAATAAAACTATCCTGTTCTTTCTCAAGGTCAACTCTATCTCTGTACCAAATTTAATTAAAATCAGTTCAGTGGTTTAGGCATGAAAGCGTAACATACAGACAGAAATACTTTCGCATTTATAATATTAGTAGGGATTAATCAATGTAAGACATTATTATAGTTACCTATAATGAGCATCTCAGCGCTACAGCCCATCTCAGCGGAGACTATGAGCATGTGGCACTGCGGCGGGTCGAGAGGGAACTCCGCCATCTGTCTGCCGAGAGGAGTTAGGGCTCCGGTGCCGTCCAACGCGCCGAGGATCCACAGCTGGTACATTGAATTGAGGATCGTGTCCTGGACCACGAATGTTAAGATAGGATATGAACGAAACATGATTATAAGAAGTCATAACTCATAGTGGCCTAGAGGTTAAAGGAGAAATGTTAAATACATTGTGAGTAGAATGATGTTTAAAAATTATAAAGAAAAATGTAGAGGAGCATTTAAGTTAGAAACGTATAAATTTATATTAAAAATAAACTATAGGACTTCATTTCAAATGATTAACTAATTTCATACATTAAATATACGATTAAAGTATTAAAAATTTATGTATTTTAATTCAACCATATAGACGTTTGTATTAAGTTATAACACATGACTCAATGTATTTTAAACACATTCAATAAACATAATATTTGTTACACTTATGTATTTTAACGGTTTATTATATTAAACGAAATAACTATTACACAATAAAATGTGTTAATCGAAACATTTCATTTACACATCAGTAAATTCGACATCTCATTCAAGCGGCTCGTTGGTCTAGGGGTATGATTCTCGCTTTGGGTGCGAGAGGTCCCGGGTTCAAATCCCGGACGAGCCCAAATTAGCTTTTTATTATTTATTTTTTTAAATTGTTTTATACTAATTTTCATTATATAAGTAAAATAAATAACTTTAAAATGCTAGGATTACTAAAAAAGATTATTTTTTTTTTGTTTAAAAAGACAATATTCATTTGATAAGTATGTACATGATAACAACCATTTTCCATATCAGGTATTGAAAGTCATATCGTCGGGTATAGTGCAAATCCGCGTAACTATCATTGGATAATTCCGCGTATCTACATGGGAACCAGATTATCAGAAGAAAGTTTAAGCTGAAGTATTTTCTATATTAACGACTTTTAATAATAATAATAATAAAATATTTATTGGTCAAAGTCGCACTACAACACAATAACAATCTTATTCACAAAAAAAATACAATAAATAAAATTACAAAAAAAAAAATATAATAAGAAAAAGGAAAAAAAAAGAAAATGTGCTGCAGTGCAATACCAAATGGAGATTCGCGCAGTAGAAGAAGAAGCATCAATGATGCTTCTTAACTAAACTGATTTTCAGCCTCTATAAGGTAACTTTTAGTATCATAATTAGTAATTATTTAGTGTTTAGTAGCTAGGTATATCTTGTAAGTCATGTTATTACGTCACCTGCGGTGGCGGGTCCATGAAGTGGAAGGCGAGCAGGTCATCGACCCCGAGCGACTTGAGCAGTAGCACGGTGTTAGCGAGGTTGGTCCTCTGTATTTCAGGCACAGTGGCTGGTAGCAGCTCCTGGCTGAACTGCCGTTCCGTGTACAGACAGAACGCGCGACCAGGACCTGTGCGGCCTGCGCGACCTGCTCGTTGTCGAGCGTTAGCCTGGCTTACTGGGTAGATCTGATAGAAATATACTTTATTATATATAATACTAGCTGCGCCCCGCGATTTTCGGGATGTAAAGTAGCCTATGTTTCCTGGACCTCAGCTTCTCGTATACGAAATCTTATCAAATCGGTTCAGCCGTTTGAGCGTGAAGAAGTAACAAACATACACACTCTTACAAACTTTCACAATTATAATATAAGTAGGATAAAGGACCATCATTTGTTTTTAAATTTTATCCTGAACCACCTTAGTGTACAAGTTTTTGCACAAGAACAAAAAAAAACGAACAAATAACAAGTTGTGCTATGTTATGAAATTTGGAAGTATGTAAAGATTTTGCGAAAAAACAAAAAAGTGCACGAAAAGACGAATTACATTTGAGTTTAAAATATATACAGAAAGAATTATGTGAAGATTTAGTGTAAAAAATAAACTTCGTTATACCGACCTGCAGGGCGTCCATGCCTATTCGTGGATTATAGACCTTCAGTTTACAGTAACCACAGTCGATCACGTACATAATGCCATCCACTGTCAAAGACGTCTCTGGAGAGAAAAAAGAAATTATTACGTAATACAAAAAATAAAAACTCTGATTAATGATGATTCCCAAAAAGAGGGTTGATGTCAGGCAGGCGGCCGGTCGTAAAAACAAATAGCCAAAACTATTCACAACATGTAAGGCAGAACCTGGATAAAGCTGGGAAAAATTGCCAGGAAGAGAAGACAAAAAATAAAAACTCTAAAAATAGCGAACTAAATCATGTATCAGATATATCTTAAGTAATAAACGCCCACCAGCTATATTAGTGGCTACGATGCATTTCCTTTGTCCTGGAGGAGCACGCTGGAATATCTTCGCTTGCAGGTCAGCTGGAAGTTGCGAATATATCGGCAGTACTGTGAGTGGCGGCGCGTTGTCCAGGTCACCTAGACGTTCTGTTAGGACCTGGAACATTGTCATTCTTTTATATAAACACTAAGTAAAATCATAGAATTATTTATGATTATTTTGGTACGTTACTTTTGGGACATTGAGTTATAAGTGTCATACCTCGCAAGTGACTTCAATATCTTCTTGACCTGGCATAAAAATCAAGATGTCTCCTTCATCCGGCTGTAAATGGATCTGTAGCGCCTGCGAAATAATTATTACTTATTACATTACTTTGTTGCTTCGATCAATTGACTTAGGGGTTTATTAAAAATTATTATTCCAGCATTACCTTTGAAGTAAAGCGAGTAAGATATACATACACAGGACAATTTTATGAAATTTATGCTTAGTAAATTATTGTAGAATGTGTGCCATTATTATAATGACAAATCACTACTTTTAGTGCTATAATCTAGATAATAATGTAAAGTGTAGTATAGACGGTTTAATAACGGAATAATCTCTATTTATGTCAAATATTTAACAGACAGTTTCAATATAAATCGTTTGACGTCAGTTCTGATAATGTGACAGAATATGGTTCTTTATCTAATGTATATGATTTTATTTACCACAAATCAAAATGGAGGTTTAATCAATGCAATTTTTCACTTCAAACAAAAAACCAGCCAAACATTAAGCTGACGAGAAGTGATACTACAGTTTGGTCTTTGTAAAAAAGACAATGGGATCAATAAACTAGCAAAGTACTATATAGTATTGATGAAAGCAGAATTGACCAAATCTTATTATGGTAACTAAAAATTTAGACCAAGAATAGTGTAGGACTACACATTAGCACTACGTATTATGTTGGAAATATCTGTAGCGATAGTTGATACAGAAAACTAAGTTACCTTTTTATATTAGTGAGACATGAAACAAAGAAATACTTAAATATTTTAGTTAGAAACTTTTTGAAAATCAACGAATATTATATTAATAATAAATCAATTGATAAGACTGGTATTAATTCAAAACCATTTACATATATCAGAGCACTGATCCTGAATACGATTGGGAAAACAAATCGGGGTTTAGTCTCGAGTTTTATTTGACAAAAGAAGCTTTTCAGCACATTGACCCCAGAGGAGGATCGACACTGGCGGGTGCAATGACCTTTATTAATTTTGTTAACCTTTCATTGTCCATATATACACAATCTACTCCAGTAACCTTTAACATCATGGACATCTTCCGTCTGAATTATTTTCTAACATTTATTAACCGACTTCAAAGAAGGAGTAGCTCCTTAAATCGACTCTGTTAACATTCAGTGATTACTAAGTACTGTAGCTTTTAATTTTATAATTCTGATAATTATTAACGAACTCAGATTGTTTGAGGAGGTCTGATTTCAAATTTAAATATGAAAATTCAATTCATTCATTATACAGAAAATTATTTTAGTATTTGCATAATAAATAATAATTTTCTAGTAATAACCATGTGTTTCTGGTGAAGTCGATAGTTTTTTCATTCCAACTTATTAATAACAGACACGAGGCGCGATTATTACAAAAATTATCGAAGCCTGACGAGTTTCCAGTCCGTTCCATCCTTGAGAGCAAGTTACGTTACAAAAAAGAAACGATTTGTTTTAATTGTTTTAATAAACAACGTTAGTAATTTATTTATGAATACAAGAGTTTTTATCTGATAACTAAGATTCCATATGTTAATTAATTCAGTTTATATAATACCACTTACAATAACGTAACGTTCGGTGACATCATGACATTGTAATGCCTAGTTTCGATGTCCTTGATAAATAAGTGCAAACGCACAAACCGATACTTAAATATTACGTTTAATACAAACAATGATTTTCTTTTATATTTTGATTTAGTGAACAATTAAAAGCGTCGGTTCCGTTGTATTTAATGCTGTCAAAATACTCAATCGTCGGAAGTATATCGGCAGGAATTTGTATTACATGTCACGTTGCGGATCAGGCTGGCGAGCGCCTAGAAAATTCTTTGGGGCCTTCGAACTGTTGTGAGTTCTTACGTTAATTAAATGAACAAATATGAATACAAGCTACATATATATTATCACTTATTCAGTATATAAGCTCGTTTTAAGTTGTAAGTTACGCTCAAAAGTCAAAACATGATAGCGGTTTTACAAATGCAGAGCACTATTTCGGGCGGTGCCGCTAGAAAAAGAATAAATATCCTATTCTTGCCACATATCTTATGTATTACATAGAATATTATAAGTACAGGTAACGAATAACCTGTTAGTACTAGTTTATTTGAGAGCCAGTCACACTAAATGCAGTGTTCAGTTTTTTATTTTTATACCAAAGTTAATATTATCATGTCTGGTCTTTTATGAATGAGAAACTGTCTACCTTCGTTTTGACAATGCAAACTCATTATAAGGCTAACGGTTAAAAATGTTGGAACTTAAATATACACATGGATTAAGGATACATTTTAAATTTAAAGGACTACTTAGATAAATGGTCGAATTATCAGAAAGCCGACTATCGAAGACATAATTATTATATATGTCACATTAATATAATTAAATAATAACACAAAAATAGTCATCACTTGATTGTTATCATTTATTTAATATATGTTTACAGTATGAGTATAGTTAGTTATATTTACATATCCATTAGTCGATCGATTCAATGTTTATAACTTGGGCGGGATCTTAATCAACATAATGGACTAACCTACATTGAACTGAAAACAATAAGAAACCTCATAAATGTTAAAAAAGTTATGAGATTGTATTACTATTAAAAATATATTGATTAGAAGATTATTGTTTTATTAATATCAATGGATTTTTAAAATATTAAAAAGTTTTAATTCTCTATTGGGAAATATGAAAGTAAATTGTTGTATAAAATGTGATTCGGTGCTGTGTGAGTTCGTTGACCCCGGCTAGACTTGCAAATGCAGTTAGTCATTTACAGGCAATTACCGACTTTACTGTTATTGAAATAGATGAGTTTATACGCTTTACAGATATAGGCTGTCCCATTATAGGTTTAGATTTAATTGCTCTTATATTTAGACAAATACACTCTCAAATGTTATTTGCTTTGGTTGGGACGTAGGAAATCTGTACAGTTATCATACCACTGCCATAGAAGAGAGTTATTAGATTTATTGACCGCTCTTCGTTTTTTTTATAAAACATCAACTCGGTTGCCAAAATAATTGGAAAAGTATCGGTTAATCCTAATATTATGAAATTTTATTAGTAGTAGTAGTTTATATAAATAACAGACTATAGAGATCGTGATAATTATTGTATTAAAAAATCTAACCATAAAGAACTACATATATTTTTTAAATAAATAGTTATTCTCTTTGTTTATGAAAAAAATGGAATAAGTAACTCAAAAGACATAAAGATTTATAGACTTAAAAAAGATTATAGCATACAATAAAAGTTGTACCTTAAATTGAAAATTGTTTTACAAATAGAATTCCAAAAAAAACTATTCAGCAGTTGAAAAAAGATTTCACACAACACTTTGGCTAGATAAGGATCATTACTTAATGGACACACACACATACATACACACACGAACACACATGCACATATAAATTACTTCAAAGATATCGATTACGTACATCGAATGATATGAAACATGATGAATTAAACTTTAGCCGGAGTAATAAGAAAAGTTTATATATGGCGTTTTTCATGTTAGAAATCATTATTAAATTTAAGCTAATTGTTTTCGGAGCAAAAGAAACCTTATTATAACACAGTTAAGACTCGCCTGTTTCACGGCACCGTCGACGTAGTCTTCGCAGACGTTCTTGGAGAAGAAAGTCTCTACGGGAAAGGTTCGGCCTGGAATGGTGAAGGTTGGCACGTTGCCGAAGAAGGTGGAGAACTTGCTTGAGTCCATGGTTGCTGAAGTCACGATTAGCTTCAGATCCGAACGACGAGCTACGACCTGATGGAAAATGAACAGAATATAGTAGACATAATACAACACCGGCTATGAGTATTAATCTTTTAACGAAATACAAAAAGATCGATCTTATACAAAACATTAAGTAAATAGAGGTACATATTTTTGGCAAATTATTGATTTTACAGAAAGAGATTTCCACTTGCTACAGTTTTCATACATTAATAGATGTTGATCATAATTTACTAATATTTCGTTAAACATCAGTTACATTTGGACGTTCCAAAATAATCTTGTTATCCAGAAAATTCCTTGAACAAAATGTGCATTGTTGTGTGTGATGAGACTGTTATAGGGTCTGCTCAGTTTTACGAGCCGATTGGTTTAATACAATTTGCAACAATATGTAGGATGGGAATGAGCTTTTGATTGGATTTTCGGTTTAGGTTTTGACACAATTGGTTATTTATTCCACAGGCGTTAATGAAAATCTTTTAGCCCAAAAATGACCTGCATTTACTGAAAGACAGTAGTTTTTGTCTGATTGTCTGGACAATAGCAGTAAAAAGTGTATTCGGCAGTGAACAATCTAAACTTCACAAATAACACTTAATTTAGACTGTTTTTTAAGAAGTCAGACAATGGTATTTTTTAAGTAATGTTAATAAAAATTGTTTTTACCTTGTCCCGTGTTTTTTACATTTTACTTATTTCATTATCCTTGAAAAGTAATCGCTTCCGCATGAACAAATTTTTTCACTTCGATTGAAAATTAAATACTATTTTTAGCAAGCTAAACTAAAATATCATTGATCGGTTTTTAAACGTTTTATGTTAGGTACTTACATTTTTTATGACAGTGATGTAATCTGAATGAAAAACTTTATATAACGATAATATTTCCAAAGTACATAGTTTGAAGTAAAAATCATCAAAATTTCATACACAGCAGAGGATCGGAGTTCAACACACATACAACATATACCACGGACATTATTCTATTTTGACATGAGAAAACTTCAAAAGCAATATAATATAATACTCTGAGAATTGTGAATGAGTGAAAGCTTGTAGAGATCGATGGATGTATGAAAGTTATGAATGATGTTGCTCTTTCACGTAAAAGCTAGTTTACGTATTTTTATGAAACTTTATAGTTATTATTGTTAGGCAGAGAAAGGAGTTTGGTTTTGAGCGTTTAACGCGCGTTAGATAGGGGCCCTTTAAACCCACACCTGGGTCGCAAGTCCCAGGCCCTGTTGAAGCTCCTTTCCCTATCACGCGTTGGACTCGGCACCCGCACGGTGAATCCATTGAATGCTGAGATGTTTCAACTCATGTAGCTTCTACAGCAGAATAAGGTATAGCGTATAATTTATAAAAGGATTCTGTGTAGCTCCCGTAGGATAATGTAATGAGATTTGTATTTTGCTTCAAATGCGTGAAATATACTATAGACGTCGCCGACGCGACGATTGATCTATGTCTTAATTCGCTTTATATATTTCTCTCTGAACCCAAATCCGAATGTTAAGTGGGCGAATTCCCGGACAAAAACTAATAAAAAAATCATTAAATAACAACGGTTTCTCAGCTTCATAAAATTATTATGAGAAGTAGGCCGCTCCTCAGTCGTGACTCTACCAGTATTGCTCCAACAATTAAAACAGTTTTAATGTTCAACGTTGAATGGATTTGCTGATATTTGTTGCGAAAAAGACGTTAACATAGGGGAGCGGGGGGCACGTTGTTACAATTTTTAGATAATTATTAATATCACAAAAGCTATCAAATAATGTATACATTTGATTGCTTTTACCATTAGTGTGTCTATTCAGCTAGTAGAATGCAATTGGAAAAATATTAAAATTTACGTAATTTTTCCCAAAATAGAGAATTAATGAAATAAGTCGATTGCAACAACTTGCCCCTGACTTGGGGCTAGTTGTTACAGCTTCGGGGCACGATGTTACAGTGTAGGTAAATAAACAAAATGAACAATAATATATCATTTATTTTTTATTATTTCAAAACGTTATGAATAAAAAAAACTATTTTGATCAGTCTTATAACATTTATGAGCAATTATAATATCTATATCGTAATTTTCCAAGTTTTTAACAGTAATAATCACATAACTTTGGCAGGAACTTTCTTAAATCTTATATATCGTTTATTTTAGTTATTTTGGTTTATCGGTTAATACAGCGGACTTACGTTTACGACGGTTATGGATGGATGGTTTTCGAGCCTCTGCCTTGGGAAAGGACCTTATCTTTGAAGGCGAAAAATTTTCAAATGTACTTTGTATACCAGATGGACCTGGTATCTCTAATTCAATATTATTTTTAAAACTTGACGAATCTGCACTCGGTAATGTTGTTAAACATTCTGTATCTTGCGAACAAGCTGGATTTGGAGAAGGTGAAAAAGTAATATTGTTAATAGTGTCAGGTAATAGATTGGTTGCTGTTTCGATTGCATGTATGATTTCATTTGTATGATTTCATTTTTTCACTTTCCATTTATTCTAATTTTTAAGTACAGCGTAGTAATTTCTAAATGATAGTCAATGAGATGAACGGTAATACAAGATCTGAGACAAGTTGTTACATGTAACAACCTACCCCGAAAAACTGTAACAACCTGCCCCATGGTGTGTTTTTTAATTAAAATTAAAGCCGCCATTAATGGATATCAATAGCAGAATAAAACGCTATTACAAATTAAAACTCGATACATTATGAACGTTCGAGGCGAAAAGAATTTAGAGAATAAGAAATATAGACAGCAGGAATCAAAAATTTCGTAAAAGATTTTGTTACGAACTTGATGGAAATCGAGACACTTGCACACAACCTAACAGTTAGCCGCTTGGCGGGTCGCTGATTGTTTTTTTGCAACGCACGATGTTATAAGAAAACAAATGAGTCCACTTACGTCTACCAAAGAGTTAAAAATCCCGGTAAAAAATGCGTGTAACTTCTTACCCCTGTAACAACTGGCCCCCCGCTCCCCTACTTCATGTTTCGAGATTTATTTAATAAGACTGTTTGTTTGTTTGAGTTCATTGAAATATTTAGGAAATATGATGGTTATCCATTAGTTGCATATTGTTATTTCCTGAAATCCTCAATTCGTACTTGTCTTTTATCAAGTCTGTGTACATATGTGTCTTATATTCAATTTTAATAGATAAATAGTGAATCATTTATCACAGGATTAGCTATTTCACTGAAGAGTGATATATTATGTAGACCAAGCCAGCTACATCGATAGTAATCCGTCCGTACAAGTCACGCTACATTGTTCACAGCGAATTGAAATCGATGGTACAGAAAATTGGGTCACATTTTTCACGGCAATTTATTTTGATGTGTTCGTGTTATCGGAGTCTCCAAGGGATCCAGGTTAACGAGCTTTGGTCTCTTGATGTGATTGGTCATTGGTGGAACTTTTGAAGTACCGTTTGATAGTTATTGTTCCAATTACAGCTTCATTAATATATTGAGTTTATATCAATACCTAGTAATAACTTGCATTTAACTAGAGTTTATGTAACATAATTTAATTAATAAATATTTTCTAAGTGTAAGTCAGTTATTATAAGGAATATGTTTTTATGAATTTTGTTTTAGGTTCAGCATCAATTTGACAATAATATGAAATTACGAGATCTTAACGTGTCACGAACTAGTGATATAATAAATAACAATCTGACGATGACACGCAGACAATAACAACTGAAATGTATTTGAAATATAATCTCATGTAAGTTATTAGATCAGAAATAAATATTAAAACATCTATCCTTTATTAAATCTATAGTTTGGAGTTAGATTGCAGGATCGTCTAGGTCAGATACACGGGATTAAATGAAAAATATTATGTCTAGACTCTAGACAAAGTAGAAGATACAGTTATTTTTTATTCAAATAATATTTTTCATTTGCAAATTGTCCTGTTGTGTACATTAATACGAAGACGTGTATTTTTAAACTAGCTATGAAGCTACATGACACTGAAGCTCTAAACACATATATCACGTTGTGTGGGCGATCTTATAAAGACTAAGTCAATATATTAACTGTGGACACACCTCACAGTCTATTAATGGCAGCCGAGCCCACGGACAATAGAATTAAAAATACCACTACTATACATTTACACTAAGATATAAGGAGTAAATGTTTTTTTTTATTATAATCAGAACGTCTTGTAAATTATTAACGACAATTCAAACAATCCATTGTATTCAATTTATATTTTTTTATAAGATCAATTTAATATTACAACAGTAGTTCTACTATAAATATAAATATGCAAAAATACGATAATATTTATTTAAAATTCACAGTTGTGGATCGAAATGTATAGAAGTCTTTGGAAGATTTAATTAATACGAATGTTTTGAATACATAAAATTAGAATTTAGTTATATTAAAAAGAATTGCTAAATTAAATTTGAGATATATTGAATTGTTTTTAGAAGAATGGAAGAAAAAAAGCGAATTTTTCTTTGAACTCGACATTTATCAGTATAGTTTAAAGTGATCATTAATTATGTAGTATTATAAATTATATTATATATTTATAGTTATTGCAATAATTAAGGTCATGAGATGGTATAAGGGTTCACTGAATAACGCTGGCATTTGCACTTCTATGAAACCTTTAAAGTAGAAAATTCTAGACCAATATACCTACATATTATATGTATTCACCCTCAATATCTTATAATTTTTATAGCTTTCAAAACTTTAACATTTAATAGTAGATTGTATCAATATTATATGTGAGAACTTTCGTATTTTTTTTTAATTATTTCTGTAATCCTAAGCTCAGCTGGAAGTAATATAATGTATAAACAAAACCGATCATATCTCAAAAGTATTAAGAACAAAGGCAAAATAACTTCAGACGAAAATGATTCACTATAAAAAGAAAATTGAGGATTATGCGAGCTAAGCTACTGTAATACAAAGTAATTTAATAAAATTTTATATAAATAAGAGTAAAAATTTCCTGTAACATTACATACAGAATATGAGTTTATTTTTAATATTGTTTTTGGAATAACTTGTATTATTTACGGATATAAATAAATACACTTAAATATGTAATCAACAAAATGCCAATATAAAAAATGTGACTAAATGATATTTCGTTTAATTTTTAAAATATATAGAACATTTGTTTAACGTTCTGAAAAAGGTTGATAGTTTTCATCGCGGTCGTGATTTTTTCGACTGCAAGGCTGTTTATCAAACTATATAACCTTGACCTATTAAGAGGACGATATGACGTGAAGAGCGACCTCCAAAACTCAAGCGGGTCAATGGCCTACAGACGATAGAGGTGGAAAACTATGCGTCATAAATCCATATGTTGAATGGTATTTGTAACGAACAGTTAATGGTCTGAATATAAGCAAAGATGGCATTACATTAGAGATTCCATTATATTAATATAACCTTGTTGTCTACTTTGAATGAACAGGCGGAGCACATCAAGGCCGACACAATATTATAAGTGGAACAGAAAAACATCGAGAGAGAAAGTAGAAAAATATTAAGGGACATAAAAACTACGACATTGACATATGATAACGGATTATGAATATTTAAATAATTTAAGAAGATTTTGACCGACATGTTGGTGTTATTCAAATCACTGGTAATATGTTTTTTCCTTTTTGCCTTTTGATTTGGCTCTTCTAGTTGATTTCAATCTTCCTGCTTCGGACCTCTAGGAATATTCCAATGGGAAATGGCCTATCACAGTTATAATTTATTTATTATAGTATCATCGCGATAACTTTTTTTGCCAGAAATCCGTTCTTTACACATTGATTTTATTTTCGATTTTAAGCAAACATTTTTTGAAATTTCACGACATCAGAAACGTAATATACTTTATTCAATTCAATCCAATTCAATTTGTTATTATCCATGTATAAAATCAATTACTATTTTCACATATCATGTTTGCTGATAAAGATCTGAAAGTGAGTCAGAGTATGCTTCGAGATAATACAGATTTATATATATGTATATAACACATATTTTGAGTAATTTATTAAAAAGGTTGTACCTTACACACATACAACTTATATATTCACAAGTGGCTGATTTGCAAAACTTTGACATATAAAATATTTGAATCATACAGGCGTTACGTGATAAACTTAAAAAAATCGTATGATTTTCATTTCCATGTGCATGGAGCACAGCGATGGAGCAGAGCAAAGGAAGTATATTTTTGATTAAATTTAAAGGTATATTTTATCTATAAAACAATTTAAACTGGTAGAAATATAACATTTACAAATTACTTATAAGGTACAAAGGCATGATATGAATATAAGCCTAAAGCCACCCACTGAATAGAATTTGAAATGAGCCGGTGATTCAGTTGAGCAGACAAAAAAGGAAGCGTTGGGCGCTCTGCAGGCGTCACTGACTCACTAACTGAGACCATACAACAGAATAACTTGGATGGACATAAAGAAATAAGATCATTACACTGTTAAAGTTAAATAAAATGATTGAAGAACATCTTCATGGCTTGTTTTAAACAATAAAAACGTAAATAAGTTAAAAAATATATATCTTAAATGTAATATTTTGTCAGAGTTACCTTAATGCATTTTTTTACCTCATATTTAAGCATAATTAGCTACGTTTCTCTGACGTCATATATTTAAACGTAATTTCTTGGGGTTTTCATGTTTACTTTATCAGTATGAAATAAATGTTCAGATAATTTATTAGATAATGACACTTAACTTTGATATATCCTACTAATATTATAAAAACGTAACGTGGTCATTATGTATGGGTGTTTGTGTGATTTATCCGTAAATTCCATGACGCTTCCTTAGGGACCAAGACAACAATTATATTATGTATGACGTCACGTGACACAGACTACCCACGTCACTGTTCGTTGGTTATTCCATATGTGGTTTTAACATGCTTTACAGATGTTTCTCTTAGTCCAAACATCATCCTTTTCAAAGTCCACGCGGACAAAGTAGCAAACAAAAACTAGTCCATATAATCAATCAGTAGGACGTGTTCTGACTGTGTATAGAACAAAATTAAAGTTTTACATGAAATCGAGGGTAAAATATGTAATAAAATTAAAATGAAAAACCCCAAAAACTATGAACATGTACTATCGGGGAAAACTATATGATTTTATGAGTATTTCCATCGAAGAAATCCTAAAAGTTATTTCAATTGCTATTTTGAACGTCATAAAGTTCTTCAAGTCTTAGTTACTTTATATAGAAACAGTCTAGACTGAGCGGTGATTGTGAGCGAATACGATATAGAAGACAGACATTACATTAACACAGACCATATTAAGACCGATTCTGTATACTCCAATAGTACTTAAGCTTTAGAAAGTGCTGGGTTTCTGAATCTCAAGTGGTATTGAAGTGGAACATGTTTGTCATCAAACACGGTTGGAGATTTAAATTATATGGAAAACCTATATACATATATATGTTTGTTACATATTATTATATATATAAAAACCACTGACAGCTTCGTTATAAACATATATGCACACGAAGTTGAGGCCAGTTTGGAAAACATAGGAAGAACCTTGTGTGTGTATGAAAAATATATTTTTTTCTTCATATCACATGAGTCACTTAACGTGCGACGTATCGAGGTCGGCGCGACGTGAACGGTATCTTATATATCATCTTTGGATTAATTTCGTCTGATATTATTTGTCACTACTGTATTAGGAATGGTCGTCCGTGACTTAGCTCCAGTTATAATCATGTTACATGTGACATAGTTGAATAACATATGTATATTTTTTTTGTATGATAACTCATAATGAAAAACAAATTACATTCACAACGACAACTAAATAACTTTTAGTTATGTTTTCACTAAAAATCAAAAAATATAACATTATATCTGATTTGATGCTTATGCCATTTTAAATATTTGATCACCTCAATTACCTAAGAAGCCGTACAGCTATGTCGACGAACGCATTGTGTTTTAAAAAACCAAAGTACGGATCTAATAAGAGTAATTATAATATTAAACTACAGACGTGTAGTGCGATGCTTTTAAATCGCGATCAACCCTTGTGTTGTATACCAATAGCCAATATATAGAACATTGGAATTGACAATTTGATATTTATTAAAAAAAAATTACTATACATACTTTAGTAACCTCTTTAAAAATAATATCAATTTACTTGATTAGACTCCAATTATTGTCCAATGTAAATAAAGATTTGCAACCAAAAACCTATTCTAAAATTATTCCTTATACAGGAACAAAAAACGCATATAAAAACATATATGTATGTACATTTATGTATATATATAGTATTCCGTTCTAGTATAATGATAATTCTCGTCTAGGAACCACTGACCTACAAAGATATTGTACTATTAAACATTTATTTCATACAACACATTGTAAATAAATTACATTTAATTGTAACTACATACGTAATTTACTAATAATAACACATATCTAAGTACATATCTACATACAGATCTATATGTATATACATATTATGAGTATATCACAGATAGAACAAACAATATACATATAACTAATGTTATCGTCGCTTCGAAAGTTCGAATTTTCTTTCAGATATGTCGAATGTGTCATATTTTTGACGACGAAAAATTTTAAACAGGAATTTGTAAAAATGTTAATAAAAATGTAGAAAATTAAAAAATATAAATTTTGCATTCTACATTATGCTAACTCTTATAAAATTCGCTTAGTTTTGTTGAATATACTTTGAATAAAGGAAACCTACCAAATTGGTAATTTTTAATTTGTTTAACGCAGTAATAGGCTACTATGAAAACGATAGTAATTTTCTTTTGAAATACAAAAATAGTAAATTTATTTGGTGATTAAATCGTCGGGCTATAATCAGTAGTGATTAGATTTGATTACATATTAACCATTTTTTTTTACTTTTTATATTGACGTCATCGGCGTCTGTCTAGTAATATGTACGTGCGAAATCATGATACGATAAAAAAACATATTCTTTTATAAAAAAGGGTTCAGTGAACTATAGTACCATATTAAAAAAATTACATCATATATAAAAAAGTATTATATTTGACCAATCAAATCAACTTCCACACTTATAATAAAATCAAACGCTCTTCATAAATCTATTTAAAATTCTTTAAAATCTTTAAACATGTTTCAAATCGAATATGAACTTCAAGAATGTATATTTAATATAAATATATATCTTTTGTATATAATGTAAGGTAATATAAGTAAGGAGTCGTCTGCGTGGCGCCTTTTCGCTTCATCGAACCTGAACCGTACACATGACATCTGTTGTTAAATACATTGACAGAAAATCAGAAATATATGTCCATAATAAGATGATTGCTCTCAATGAAACTGTTCAAAAACTTTTCTTCTATTTCGCGAACTGTGAGTAAAACTAATTTTAAACATGATTAGTTTATTAGGAATTAGTACGTCAACAACTTCGCGGATTACGTTCTATTGGGAATGTTTTAAAATAACACAGCAAGATTAACGTGAGAAGAATGTGTGTAACTAATTCCTACGTGTATGTTGTAATAGTTATTATTATTTTATATAATATTTATATGAAATATAATAATAGAATAATGGAACTCGATAAACATGTTCCACAATAGGAATTCCTCTGAGATTATTTATTACGAAAACATAATATAAAAATAACTTCGAGATAGTACGTGTATTGTTTTAAAACATCGAGGCGGTATGTATAAGATGATTAATAAATAGCTTACATATATATGAATGAAATGTACGGTCTTAGTAGGTTTAAGTATAATATTTTTTCTTAGATCATACATTTTCATACTTCTAATAAATAATTTTGTCGTTTTTTCATTTTACTATGAGGTTAGGAGATCCGAGGTCTAAATAATTTTAACTCCCAATTTAGGAAGACGAAGTTGGTTTTGTTGGTTGGTTATATTAATATTATTGAGCCAATATTAATATGAACCGGAATTTCCTACTGTCTATATAATGTACGCGTATCTAACATTCTTGGCTGACAGAAGTAATTAAAATTTCAAAACATTGGCATCCAATGATTATCTGTGATCCAATAAACACACTCATTAATTTTTGTGTTTACAATTCAGAAATAAATTAACATTGTTATGTGTAACATATAGACACACACACATATTATACAACGACTGAATCATCTTTGTAATATTGTTTTGAAAACAAATATATCTTTTGGTGGTTTAGTTGATAATTACTTTTTAGTTTGTGACGATGTAGGTATCTTCCTTTGTTATTTATTACATTTAAGTTTTATTTGTTACATTCACAATGAAAACGAAGTCTTTCGCGAGTATTCATTTAAATTTAATATTTTCGGATTACTACGCGTATTTTAATATTTTTTAAATCTACATACTCCCGACGTTTCGGTAAATTTACATCTCGACTGACCGTGAACACGGTTTTTGCAAAGTAACCGAAACGTCGGGAGAATGTATTATTTTACAGTAATAAAATACGCGTTGTAATCCAAAAATATTACTTTCATTTAAATGTTACATTCATGTAAATAAAAATATATAAGTAATATGTAAGCATATGAAATAAATATGCAAGAAAAATGCTTTAAAAAGAAAGAAAATGAGATAGATGTAACCAGAAAAGACTTAAACAATACATATGTACTAAGAGCGTTAGATTAGTTGGATTTGAGAAATATATACATATACATGTATAATATATGTATTTTGTTTATTATAACAATGGGGCAGACGTCGCAGCAGACGGTTTTGTTTTGGTAAATGGAGCGAGCTTTATTTATACGGTACCTCTCGTACATAATGATATTAATGTACATAAACATATCGCACGGTCGTCTGGCGACTGGCACTGAGTAGTGAGTACCAACCTAATGTATTTATGTCCCTTTATGTTGAACATAACAACGGAAACTGGTCATTAAAACATACATTTAACATTCATTATTATAATTTCATTATGTTATTTAGAAGTATTATTAATTATGGTTGGCTTTTCACTTTTCAATCCATTTAGAAAGTATTAAATTTTATATCTTCTTGGGTTATTATGGTTTTCTCAGCTTTTACTTTTTACTTTTGATAAACAATATAAAGAGTATTATTGAAGTTCTTTAAATTTATCTTTCAGTTAAACTAATGATACAATAATTGTTCTTAGAAGCAAACAATTCCACATGATACGAATAAGTAATTTAATATTGAGTACTCAATACTCATATTATTAAAATTATTGATCGGAAATCATCAATACAAATTATTATCAGCGTTATATGTAACCTATACAAATAAATAAAATTGGTATGTCTGTTTGTAATATTGAAATAACCGTTTTTTACTACACGCACTTGAATACGGTACATACACCAAAATAACATTTTTTTACAGTTTTTGTCAGTCTTTCTGATGTTCAGGCTAATCTCTGAAATGGCTGGACCGATTGTGACAGGAATTTTACTGACAGGTAGATGTAGTAAGGAGTAACTTAGGCCAGTTTTTTATCCCGATCCCAAAATTAAGTGTTATCACGCGCGAGTGGGATTCATTCATTCAGTTCGCATGCGGCGCTTAAAAGGTTTTTCATTGTTTAATTTTTCTTTTTTTACGCAGACGGAATCGCGGGTAACAGCTAGCATAATAAGTATGTCATTTTGTTTCGAAACTATTTTAAAAGGTTGAAGTTACTCATGTTATCTATGCTTTATGTTAGCGGTCTTTATTCGGTAGTTTTAATGTTTTATGTATGTGTATACATAAAACATTAAAGTAAGTATATGAAGTGTGAGGTTGACCAGTTGGCAGTGTATTGACTTATATGGACAGAGTTCTCCATGTTAGCTGACCACAGATAGTAAGATCTGGAAGATACCAGCAAGATCTGAACAGATCATTACAATACGAGAACTTTAAACTCAAGTGTAATAAGTAATTTTTAGTTAAGAACATATGGAATATTTATTATGTATGATGAAAGCATCTTTTATATGTTAAATATAACTATTATCGTCAATATTTCGTGTTCGTTCTCATCTTATTGAAAACAATCACTATTAGAAACATTCGCGGCTGCCAATTCTTAAATATTATGGATCTAAGCCAAACTAACTCGACCGTACTACGACTGTCGTTTGAAATTATTGACAGGCCACATCTTAATTAACACTTATAAGGAATCAAAGTTTTTGAGTTTAAATTACATACATATAATTATATCAACCTTTTTTCATATATCAAGAGCCAGTTATTATACGTATTCATTCATTAAAAATATTAAAAAACTTAACTATTATTAGGACGAATGTCACTATCACGAACAATTACATATTTGTGTACTAATCTTAATATTATTAAAGTGTCGCCTCTCCGAACATCACGTTCAATACATTCCCACTCTAGAATATCGTTTTTGACACGTACGAGTGTACCACTACTACTCAGTTGGCTGACAGGTCACAATAATTATATATTATAACATAAAAAAACTAATGCTTCTTAAAAATCTAAACAAAACACATATCTATTTTCAAACACCATCTGTTTAAACAAATATTAGAATGATTATAAAATGCTGAGAAAAAGTTTTCCATTTAAAATGTCAGTGAAACTTATGTGGTATTTTTTAATTTACAATGAATAACATAATAGTGTAGTAAAGAATAATATACATTAAAGAATTGAAATGTGAGAATGGAAAAAGATTAATATATTTTTTGATCTTCATTGCTACAGAACTATGAGTTTTAATTGAGGAACAAAAACTGTGAAAAAAATAGTATGTATTTCCAATAAGACGCAAGGTTAATGTACATGTATAATGTATATATGTTAATATTCAAGGAGCGTAAGTATGCAAAGTGAATTAATCTTGGCAATTATCCACAGGTCCGGGCTACTTGGCGGCTCATGATAAATATACATTTTTCTTTAGGATGTACAACATATATATATATATTAAAGAAAAGAGATAAAGCTTGTGATACATATATATATATAAAATAATTTGTAATCAAGATATAAAGCTTTTTACCCAATTTTGGTTAAAGGCTTGTAAATTGAGGGATAATTTTATTTAAACTGTAAACGCGTGTACTGAAATTAAAACAAAAAATACAGGACTAAATATTCAAAAAAGATAAATCGAAAGGCTTAAAAAAACTTTGCAATTCCAAAGACAAGATGAATGACATAATATATTGCGCCACTGAAGGGTAAATATAAAAATTTACTGAACCCGGCCCTGAGACAATTTGTTATTCAAATACCTAAAACATTGAATTTCTTTGTGTGACGTATTAGTTCTTGATAAATTACCATAATTTGTAGCAATTAATATTTAAAACGCTATATAATTAGTCTTTGACGTATTTTATACAGAACTTGTTCATATGGATTCTGCGGACTGTTGATGTTAAAAAGACATTAATATTTACTATCAGTTTCAACCTTACACAACTTGTTTACCTTAACTGATACGATCTTTATTAATAAGATGTAATATAATTACAGTGTAACCACTGATAATTTTTTATCATCTAGTAATTTGAGGACGGTATAACCTTTGGAATAAAGTAAAAATATTTACTTTAACTGATAGCGTAAGGCTGAGTTCATATTATCTGATTTTAATATTAAGAAGATCCCATAATGGAATAATTACATATATCTTTAAATGTCACAAGAATTAGGTACTATAGGCTTAGTCTAAGTTTGAATCATCACAATACGTCAATATATAACCTACGTTAAAACTATAATATGCGAAGATTTATGAATGAAAAACTATTAATATACCGTATGTAGCGTGACAACGCAGAAATTCTACTAAGCACTTTGGGCAACATTTTGTCTAGGTGTAGTATAGTGTGTACGGAGCCTTTAACTCAAACGAGATAACTCAATATTAATACGACATGAGGTCAATGACTTGTCAATTAATTAATTGGTTAATTATTATGAGTCAAATTCTTATGTCAACATTAAAAGGAAATGAAGCTATTACAACAAAATGTCTTGATAATAATTAATATTAATTGTTAATGACGTTACTAATGATTTTAGGTCAATTATATTTTTCATTAACTTCGTAAAACTTAATTACAAAAGTTTACTTTGTCACAGTATCCGGAAATCACACGGAAAAACAGAATCTGACCCAGTCTACAGATACTTAACCATAATACTATTTAATTTTACAAATAGCTTCCCTATATACAAATAATAATATTTACTTATAGTAGTTAGTAACAATATCTACGGAGAACAAAGCATTTTGTCA